TATATGCTTCTAGGAATTTATTCATTTCATCTGTGTTGAACAGTTTGTCATACAGTTGTTCATGCTCCTAAAGTCCTTCTGATTTTTGTTAAAATTGGTCACAATGTCTTGTATTTCACTTGTGATTTTAGTTGAGTGCTTTTCTTTTTTTAAAGTTAGCCAATCTAGCTAAAGTTTTGTCAGTTTTATTGCTCTTTAAAAAACATTACATTGATTTTCTATTTTTTATTTAATTTACCTCTGCACTAATGTTTGTGATTTCCTCCTGTTAGTTCTGGGTTCAGTTTCGGGTTCAGTTTCATTTTTTTTTCTTTTGGTTCCTTAAGGTATAAAGTTAGTTGTTGATGTGACATCTTTTTTCATTTAAGCATTTATAGGAAAAGAATGTAAATTTCCTTTTTGGCACTGCTTTCTCTAAATCGGATCGTTTTGGTATGTTGCATTTTTATTTTCATGAGTCTCAAGATATTTGCTAATTTGGGGCACCTGGGGGGGCTCAGTCGGTTAACCATCTGACTTTGGCTCATGTTCTGACCTCTCGGTTCGTGGGTTCAAGGCTCACATATGGTGCAAAGCCTGCTCGGGATTCTCTCTCTCAAAATAAACTTAAAAAAATAGATCTATTGGCTAATTTACCTTGTGGTTTCTTTGACCCATTCATTGGTTAAGAGGGTGTTGTTTCATTTTGCACAACTTTTTTTTTCCTATTTTCCACCTATCTTTAGTTGTCGGTTTCTTAGGAATTTTCACCTTGACTGGTAAAACATAGGTGGTGTGATTTCAGTCATGAAGAATGCTTTATGATTTTAGTCGTCAAAAATGCGTTAAGACTCCATGTATTTTGTGGCTTAATAGATGGTCTATCCTGGAGAATGTTCTCTGTGCACTTGAGAAAAATCTATATCCTGCTATTGTTTGGTGGAGTTGTGTGTATGGGTCTGTTTGATCCAGTTCTCTTATGGTGTTCAGATCCTCTACTCCCTTCCTAATCTCTGGTTCCACCCATGGTAGAAAAAGGGTGGATGCGGGGGGGGGGGGGGGGGGGGGGGCTCGGGGGGGTGGAGGCTCTCTCAGTGTAGAGCCTTTTCTCCCTTCCATTCTGCCCATGTTTGCTTCAGATAGTTAGAACCTCTGATGTCCGGTGCATATTCTTAAAATCATTAGATCTTCTTGGTGAATTAATCCTTTCATTGTTAAATGTCCTTTCCCCTCCCTTGTAACAGGTTTCTTTTCTCTTTTTAATTATATGTGTCTGATAGGCACCTAGCCACCCTGCTCTTTTGGTCGTTATCTGTATAGAGCATCTTTTTCTATCCTTCGGCTTTCAACCTCTAAGCGTCCATAGGTCTAAAGTGTGTCTCAGATGGCATCAAGTGATTTACCAGATTTTTCAGCTCCAGAATGTGTTTGGTTCCTTATTACGATTTCTCTCTCTTTGCTGATATTCTCATTTTGCTTAGACATTGTTTTCCTAATTTCATGTGGTTGTCTGCCCACCTTCTCCTGCAGCTGACCGAGCACATTCAAGCCCGAGGCCAGTTTTTCTCGAGAGCTTTCTGGAGGTTTACTGTGTTCCCTCGAATGGGCCCTGCCTCCCTGTTTCTTTGTTATGTCTTGTCACCTTTCGTTGAAACTGGGCGTCTGCAAAGGCATCCACCTCTCCCAGTCTTTGCAGACTGTCCCTGCGCGGGGGAAGACCCTCACCAATCAGACTATGTAAAGGCTCCGGGTTCTCTCAACCTTTTGTGGGAGGGGGGTTGTATCTTCCCTGGGCCTGTGTGTAGGTTTTAATTTCACATCCCCAATATTCACAGTGTCTTTAAAGGTCTTCATTTCCCCAGGAGCCTCACCCCTGCTTCTTCTGAGGGGTCTAGATACAGGATTGAATTCCTCTGCCCAGATCTGCCCCCACCCCCCGCCGGTCTGCAGCCCTCTCTTGGACGCGCACCCATAACTGCTGTCAGCAGCCTCCCCCCACCCCTGCACGCTGCCGTTCCCGCCCTCAGCACCCTGAGCCAGGAGAGACGAAGCCTGTCCCTCCGGCAGCTCCCCAGACAGGACACAGGAAGCACGTTCTACACTTGCTCTTCCCTCCTGAGGGAGGACTCGGTTGGCTTCCTTGAAACTGTCCTGTAACAGGCAGGCGACGACACGAGGGGGCCCCACGGCTCTGCCTTCAGCATGTTCTGGGTCAGGCGGCTGCTGCTGGAGCTCCCACGAAGCTACTTGGGTCCATTTTGTTATGCGTTTGGTGTGTCCTCGGAGGTCCGAGGGTCGTGACTTCCTGTGCTTGTGCCTCACCAGGGTCCCTTCTGTCGTCTGCATTGTCATCAGGATGTTTCCAGGGGCGCCTGGGTGGCCCTGTCAGTTGACCGTCTGACTCTTGATTTTGGCTCAGGTCATGATCCCAGAGACGCGGGATCGAGCCCCGCGTGCCGAGTGTGGCGTCTGCTTGGGATTCTCTCCCCCCCATACTCATAGTCTCTCACTCTCTCTTTAAAAAATTAAAGAGTTGTTTCCAATACATTATTAGATATGTCACCAGAAGGGTTCTGAATTACCTCGATGTCGTTAGTACAGTGTTTTAAATGCCATCCTTGGATCCCAGAGACTGTGGACTTTGGTTTATGAATACATCAGTAGCGTCTGTTTCCAGTGTGAAGCTGGGCTCCCTCCTCTCCAGGCACTGGCCTTGGGGCTTGTTCCTGTCTTTCTTCTTCGTTCACAGGAGTTGGGAAGAGAAGGGTTTCGTCTTCCTGTTCTGGAACAGTTAGGGTAAGTTCTCTCAACCTGCCTCTAACGTGATGTGGGCCTGGTGTTTATTTAGAAATAAGTTTTAACTGTTAACTAGAGACTTGTAGAAGAGTTTCTTCCAATGATTACAGCCTCGGTAATAAGAGTACAATATCCAAACCGAGACACTGACATTGGTACAAGGTGTGTACCTAGTTTTGAGCTCTCCTTGCATGTGTAGATTTGTGTTACTGCCACCATCATCAAATTACACGATTGTTCCACCACGCAAACATCTCCCTCGGGCACCTCATCTTCCTCCATTGGGCCCGACCCCGGCGGCAGCTAACTTGTTCTCCATCATTTCCCCCCACGCAGCATAGGGCTTTTGAGATTCATCCAAGCTGCTGCCTGTACCAGTAGTGTGTTCCTTTTTATTTCTGAGTATATTCCATGGTAGGGAATATACTGTGCACCAAAGGTCAGCACTTTGGGCTGTTTCCAGGTTGGGGCTATTACAAATCATAGTGCTATGAATAATCATGTACAGGCTTTTGTGTGAAACGTAGGTTTTAATTTCTCTGGGATACATATTCAGGGATGCAACTGCTGGATCATATTTTGAGTGTGTTTTTAGCTTTTTTCCCAGAGTCGCTGTACCATTTTATATTTCCCACCAGCACTGTATGAGCTAACTAGTTTCTCTACATTTTTGCCAGCCTTTGGTTTCACTTTTTTTTTTTTTTAAACTGTTTTAATAGATACGTAGTGTTCTCATTTCCCTACTGGCTAGTACTGCTGAATATTTCTTCCTTGTGTCTATTTTCCATGCATATGTCGTCTTAGGTGAAATGTCTCCATGTGTTTTTCTCATTTTCTACTTAGATTTCTTTTCTTACTGTTAGATTTGAGTTATATATTCTAGACAGGCGTCCTTTATCAGATAGGTCGTTGGTAAATATGTTCTGTCTTTCTATTAACAAGGTTTTTCAAAGAACAACAAAAATTAATCTTGAAGAAATCTATTTTTTTTTTCCTTTGGTGTCCTAATGACTTCACTAAGCTTTGCATGTTATCTTTTAGACAACATTTTAGTCTATAGATTCCAGTTGACTTGTATTCAACCTAGGTCTTGAAAGTTATTAGTAACCTGCCCCAAGCTGTTGCGTGACCTCTCAGCCTCTACTGGATCTGCCAGTTTTGGCTTCTTGTTCATACTTAGTTACAGTTTTCCCCCTCTGGATCCCTTCTAGTCATTTCTTCCTGCTTGATTCATTTCTCTTGAATTTCTCCCCTCTGCTTTCCCTAGTTCACACACAGGGTCAGCCAACACTTGCTGCAAAGAATCGAACAGCGAATATTTTGGATTTTGTGGCCAGATCTGCAGTCTGTGTTGCCAATACTCTGCTAGCTAACTGCAGCCCCAAAGTAGCCACAGATGGTGTGTGAATTAATGTGTGTGACTTGCTCTGGCCCTTAAGTGAATGTCCTCTCGTGGGAAAGACATTTGCAGAGAGTTCAGTGCTAACAATCTGTTGCATTTTTTAAACCCCATATCATACGGGAGCCGGGTATAAAATCTAACTCTGTTAAATGCTTTAAGGGTGGAGTCTATCATCTGCCGCCCTTGCTGGTGGGAGATTGGTTGTCTGCTTGGTCCCCAAAAGACCATCTCTTGGCCACGCTGATGGGTCTTAATAGAGGTTTATGGACAGGATGTGGGATGCCTTGTGCTTTCTGAACCTGAGGTGTCAGATTTATGTTTTAAATTTCAGGGAATATTTTTCCTTTCCGGAAATTACTTTTGGAATCACACTTACCATTTTCAGTTTCTTCCATGTAGTCCATCCTCTAAAATTCTAGCATCTGAATGAAGGTCGTAGGTAGTGGGAAGGAGTCTTTGTTTTGATCAGATTCTACTCGGGGCTCTTGGGGACTCTCGATTAGTGGGTTTAGCCACCCTGGTGGGTCACCCTGATAACTACCATGTTCCTCTCCTCTGCCTCCAACAGGAATCTTGCCAGCTTGGTTGAGTAACTACTCCCCCATCCCTGATAGTTCATCTTGGTAATTTTCCATCCGCAGACCCCATCCCTGCTCAGCTCCGTCCCCACTGCTCCCTGTTGTGTTGAGCTGAGTCTGATCTCTCGCCCCTGCAGCCAAACCCCAAGGCGGTGATCCCTGCACCATGGTGCCAGTCCCTGAGTCCAGCCCACCTTACAGCCCTGGTACCAGTGGCAGGAATGATTTCCCCTTGAACAGGGATTCTACTCGCCATGCTTGGTGCAGTGGTTGACTTCCAGCCCCCCGCAGTGGGCTTCAGCCACGGGAATCAGCATCAGGCGGAACATCGATTGACCCAGGGCTTTGCAGACATGGGAGAGCGTGTGCATTACAATCCCTGACCCTCAGATCTGTGCTTGTCTGACCTCCCACAGGGCCCAAGGCCTCCAAGATGACTTGGCTCACACACAGGGTGTCTTTGGGCTTCTTTTTCTCAGTAAGTAACCCTTGGCCCATAACTCGGTTTTTACTCTGAGCTCATGGTAGGACGACTGAGTGCCTTTCTCCCTCACGGGAGCTAAGAGAAAGGAAGGAACTAGTTTTCCTGTTGGGAGGGAAGGCACAGGTCAAGTGGGCAACTTACCACACAGGGGAGGAGGGTCCAGGGGCACGACGCCCCGGGCACACAGGTGGATGGAGGTGGCAGCTAGGTTGCAGGCAGGGTACAGCTCCCGGGTACCTGCAACACAGGTGTCCTGCGTGCACCAGTTGAGGAACAGGGTGGGCTCCACCTGCAATCCAGCACCCAGAGTCAGGGTCCTTGCCCACCGCACTGAGGAGGGGCACAGGCCGCCTTTGGCCTCTGGTCTACCTGCTGCATGGCTTCCGCTGGGGTCCACACCCAGCCTCACACTCACCACCCTGAAGCAGGGTCCCAGGCACAAATGGGGGTCCTAGAAGAAGGCGCGGCAGGTGGGGCTCTGTTCTGGGCACTCTGGGGCTTTCTCCCTGGTCTTACAGTCGCTTCCCACCTGGGCCTGTCTTCTCCCGGGCATGTAGAAAAGGGGCATGGGGTTCCAGAGTGGGGGGCCACCCCCGAGTCTGAGCAGCTGGGTGGAGAGTGGACATGCAGGTGGGCAATCTCTGCCCGCAGCCACAAGCCTGGTGACGGTCAGCCCCCCAGGGGAAGAGGGGCTGGCCCGGCAGCTCACCTGCCAGGCGCGGGCGACGGTGTGGTCCGGGAGCATCGGCTCTTTGGCTGCCTCATTGTCATTGGTACCCAGGAGGCCAGCAGACACGCCTGTGGGGAAAGGGGGACAGGTGAGAGCCTGGCCAGACCCTCCACACGTGACTCCCACACCCCCACCCTGGCTCTAATCCTCCATCAGAGGGAGAGGAGGGAGGGAAGCACTTGGGCCCCTCCCCCTGCCCTACATCGCCATCCTGAGCGGCCCTGGGGCTGCCTGACTAGATCAAGGGGAGCATGTGAGGTCCGCCCGTCCTAGAGAAGGGATGGAATATGCGGTCAGAGAGGCCGGAGCTCACATCCTGGTTCTGTGGCTCCCGGTGGACGGAACGGAGACCAAGTTCCTCAACCTCGGTCACGTCTTCTGTACCACAGACAGCAGCGGGGATTACAGCACCAGAAACAGGCCAGTGGGTGGCACGGAGCAGCATGGCCCCCGTGCTGGGTGTGACCAAGCAGAGAGAGACGGCCTCTGACCTTGGCCTGCTCGCAGGCCTGCTCAGGTTCCGAGCCCCAGGGAGCAGCGTGACGGAGTCCCCAGGCCCCCAGCCTCGCGCAGACCCCGAGTGCACCCCCCCCAAGCAGGGATCCACTGCCCTCAGCCTTGGACATGGACTGTGGGCTCTGTGAGGCCCTCCCCACCAGCCCGGAGGCCACTGCGGGGGGCCCGGACCCACCGTGAAGCCAGGGGCCCAGAGTGAGGCTACAGAGGCCAGCTCGCACATCACACATGATGGAGACGCCGTCCTCACTGGCCATCTGGACCCTGGGGATGTCCCTCCTCATCGTGGCAGGTGGCAGATCGACATGCAGACAGCTCTCCGTCGGCAGGGAGGACCCTACAGCCTGGGGCCAGACACGGGCTGAGGGGGACAGAGGGCAGATGGGGCTGGGACCCAGGGGTGTAGATGGGACAGGAGGCAGGAGAGTGTCCTCCCTCTGGGCCCCCTGCCCACTCCCCCCCCCCCCCCGCAGCTGCATGCTCACCTGTAAGCTCGGAAGAAGACCAGGGAGATGTGGTTGAGCGCCACAGCCACGAGCCCCGAACTGGCGAGAACGTGGTGTGGGCAGAGTCCTGGGCCAGCAGCGGGCCCCGAGGCTCCACCCCTGGCCGGCGAAGGTCACCACGTGCCTGGCCCCGGCCACCTCCGCGTGGTCTGGGAAGAAAGGGTCCCAAGGAAGGTGAAGGGCAGCCCACGTGGGGAGGGGGGTCTGTCCCCACATCCTCTTCCCCCCCCCCGCCCCCCCGATGTCAGCCACCTGTAGCCAGGTGAGCAATAAAAAGCAACAAAGGACTCCTATGTGCACAAACCTGGTGGGGGGGTGGAGAGGGATGGCTAAGAGATACTGGGTGTCTTTTCAGGAAATGAAAATGTTCTAAAATTCACTGTACTGACAGGTGTGTATCCCTGTGAATCTACTCAAAGCCACTGAAATCTCTACTTGAGTGAAATGTGTCTCAATGAAGCTAATGTAAAGTATCATCTTTATAAAACACACACAAACCTATGGCCAAACCCTCTTCCAAGGTGGCCCAGAGAGGGGGACGGTCTGCGCCATCGGGCCACAGCTGCCGCTGGGCAGGGGCAGGGACAGGCGGGCAGCGGGCAGCACACCCCAGGCCTGGCAGCTGCTTGCTCACCCAGCCTCACAGGGCAGTACGAAAGCCCCGTAGTCAGCTCTCTGAGCTGAAGGTCACAGGCCTGCCCAAGGTCACACACAGGGGGACCTCTGAGACCCAGCTGCTGCCAGGCACAGAAAGTGCCCATGAGTCCAGGAAGGCTGGCCCCTGCTCGTGCCCTGAGCCTCAGCCTCCCCACCGTGCGATGACAATCACCCCGTGCCGAGATCCCCCGCACGCCCAGGCCGCGGCTGCCACGCCTGCCCATGGACTTCAGATCAGCCCTGTCCCCCCAAACTGCACACATGCCTGTGACCCACAGCAGGGAGCCACGTTGCCACCGTCCCTCAGGGGAGGGGGAAACCAAGTCCCAGAGCGGCAGGCCACCAGGCCTTGGCCACCCCGGGGCAGGAGCCGGACACAAACGCCCCCCAGGGGCCCTAAGCCCTCACAACCGCATCTGGTGCTGGCACAGCCCGGCTGCAGGCCCTGCCTGACCTAGAGTCTGGGCTCAATTACCGCTTTCCGGAGCAGGGCGGGAGCTGGCCCGTGCCCCACGCTGCTGGGCCCACTTGTGCGTCGGGCCCCAGGCTCGGGCGCTCATGCTTGGGACAGAAGCCTGGCCCTGCTGCCCAGCACGAGGCCAGGACGACCAAGGGAAGCCCTGTACCCTCCGGGCCCCACAGTCCCGCTCTGTCCACCCCTGCAGGGGCCTGCGGCCACATCCCACAAACCAGGGGGGCTTCCTGGGGTGGGGCACGGGACTCACACTCGTGGGGGCTCCCCAGCAGGCGCTGCCTGAGCCGGTAGTACTCAGCCAGCACACTGGTCCCGTTCATGGCACGGAAGGGCAGCGCCAGCTTCTCCACCAGGTAGCTTGTCACCCGGGCCACAGCCAGGGGCTCGTCCCCCACAGGCGGCAGCATCACCAGCAATGAGCAGTTCCTGGAAAGAGCATTGAGGAGGGGGGAGATCCCTGCCAGAGGGAGGGGTCTCTGCGTCCAGAAACAGGGAAGGGGGCAGGAGAGGCTGGGGTGGACATGGCGGCCTCACTGCCAGGCCACCCAGGGCCTTGGGTCAGCTGGGGGCACCTGTGTGTGAACCCCGAGGGATGAGGGGGCCGGCCTCTGGGGCTCCTCAAGAGAGGTGCACAGGGGGCACCAGAAACACGGGAGAAATGGGGGATTAGGGCCCAAGGGGACCCTGGGGATTTCACAGTCACAGGTGGACCCCGAAACTTAGGACGGCAAATGGGGTCAGGTCGACCTCATGGGGACTGTGGGAGCAGAGAGGGCCCAGCACACGCTGGAGTGGGAGGTGGACGAGAACTATTTCACATCCTCCACTTGGGCCAGAGGACTTTGTCCGCCCCCCCCAACCCCCCCGAGACCCTGGGGACCTGAGGTGTGCGGCCAGAGGTAGCCTCAAAGGCCTCCCTACCACCTGCGTCCTTCTTACAGCACAAGCGCCCAGTGGGGACCCTCAGCCGAGACCGCCCCAGAGAGCCCCGACTCGCTACACCGTTCTTCAAGAGAGCGGACACCCCGCCTGCTTTGCAACTTCCCTCCAGCCAGGGCGGTGGGAGCATCACTGGTTCCTAGGAGGGGAAACTGAGGCACAAAGCACTGACTGACCAGAACTGCCCGACTTAGAGCTGCATTCAGGCCCTGTGGCCCTGGGAGAAGGGATTCACTGCCATTCTAAGCCCCCGACAGATGGCGCCCCACCCCTGGCCCATGAGGGGAGGGGATGCAAGCGCCCCGGACCCTGCGCCGGGGCTGTTTCTGCTGCTCCAGGGCTAGTCACCTCTCTGATGATTCCCAAACTGCGGTACGTCCAGCCCAGGCCTCGGGCATCAGCTGCAATGGGCATTTCCGGCGGGAGTCCCCACGGCATCTCAAGGTCAACACGCCCTCAACGGCCCCCTGTCTCCACTCTCGGTGACTAGACTGAATACAGGCCCCCAAAGCCATCCCAGTGCTGGAGACCTAGGACTACGTAACTTACGTGGCCGGACGCACTTAGCAGGTATGACAGGGTTAAGAATTTTTGAGACGGATTATCCAGGGAATAATCCCAAAAAGGCAGGCAGGGGGCTCAGAAGAACGAGAGGGGAGGACACAGGTTGGAGAGGAGGCAGTGCTGGCTTCAGAGCTGGGGGGGCAGCTGCGGGGGGAGGTGAAGGACAGGGTGCTCCCCTCGGGCTCTGCAGCAGGGTCAGCATCCTGCCTGGGGCCCCGCTAAAAAGTGATTCCAGGCTTTGGACCTCCCAACTATAGGAGGATATATCTGTTGTTTGCGCTCTCTCTCTTTAAATATGTGTTTATTTTGCAGCTCGAAGGCGGACCGAGGATCCTAAACCGGTCCTGAGCTCAGCCTGTCAGCACAGAGCCCAACGCGGGGCTCAACCTCAAAAACTGCAAGATCATGACCACAGCACAAGTTGGATGTTCAACCAACTAAGCCACCCAGGCCTCCCGAATCTGTGTCGTTTTAAGCCATCCAACTGGCGCATGGTTTGCTAGAGCAGCCACAGGTCACTAATAAAGCCGCAGTCCGCCTCCACCGGTCCTTCCCCAGCGCTCCACCCGTGGGCTCTCGCTCTTTCCACGGGCAAGGCCAAAACCTCGGGCGCCGGCCGTTTCACCCCCGGCTGCAGCCTTGTTAGCAAACCTACAGCCTTGACCCTAAAACCACATCCAGACTCTGACCACCTCGCGGCCCCTCCACGGCCTCCATGGCCCAGCGGAGCCACGGTCCCATCTCGCCTGGGCAGCCCCAAGAGACAAGCACTTTATTATTTTTGTAAGTGGGACCTCGCGTGAAGCAGGGAGCCCAACGCGGGGCTTGAACTCATGACCCCGAGATGAAGACCTGAGCTGAGACCAAGAGTCGGATGCTCAACCGACGAAGCCACCCGGGTGCCCCTAGACCACCGCCCTTTACTGGGCTGCACACCTCTATCCACGCCACCCCCCTGCCCTCCTCTTCAGTCTCACAACCAGGGCCGGAGGGATCTTATGAAGGGGACACAGGCCATGTCTTTCCTCAGCTCAAAATCTTGTGTGTGCTCCCGTCTCAGAGGAGAAGCCCAAGTCCTCACAAAGGCCCCAGGCCACGTGGATCCCTGTCACCTCGTGGGCTCTTACACCCTCTGCACCAGCCCCTCTGGCTTCCTCCAATTCCTCCAGCACAGCGGAGGCACATTCCCACCTCCGGGCCTTTGCACCAATCGTGCCCTCTGCCCGGAACTCTTCCCATGGTGTCCACAAGGCTCGCTTCCAGCCCGTGTCCAAATGCTACCTTGTCCTCAAAGCAGACCGTTTGAGGCACCGCCTCAAACGCACCCCAACCCGCTCATCCCGCCCTTTTTTTCCTCAAGCATTTACCACCTCACACACCCAATCAGAGGCTCTGAAACCAGGGGTCAGGGGCCAGATGCAACCTGGGTCCGGTTTTCAAACAGCCTGCAAGCTAAGAAGGGCTTTTATGGTTTTACAGGATTCTTGAAAAACAAAGACTAAGGGAGAGAGCATCTGGCCCACAGGCCTGAACCTTTTACTCTGGGGCCCTTTATAGGAAAGGTCTGCTGACCCCTGGTGTAGAAAAATCTAGTCATCTGCTCAGGGACGGTCCCAGGGGGTGGACTGTGGAGGGATCGGTTGAGTCCCGTGTTTTATCTACAGAACCTAAAACAGCTCCTGCTCAAAGGGATCCTAAAACATCTATGGGATGAAGTAGTAGCCCATCTCCCCGTCTGTAAAATGGACACTGCAGATCCATCTCGGGGGCAGCCCAGGGTGTTTGAGCCCAGTGTCCCACCTCGGGCAGGAAGGCAGGGATGGACGGATGGATGCCTGGTGGCCACTGTCCACGTTTCCCTCCGGCCGGACACATCCTGAGAAGCCATGGCAGACACCCGGCCCCGCAGGGCGAGCCGCGGAGCCTCGGGGCTGAGGACCCAGGAGCAGGAAGGCAGAGCTCAGCGCGGAGCCGGGCCCTGGTAGCCCCGGGCCCAGGGAGGGAAAAGGCCATGCCCACCCCTGCCCCACAGCACCAGGGGCACCGGGACCCCCGCGTGGTTCACAATCCCTACTGAGTGCACAAGGTACCTCTTAAATCCACACCTGGGGGCCTCAGAGGCCAGTGGCACCTGCCATCCCCATGGCTTAAAAAGTCCCGGTGCCAGGCCTCACACCCGGAGACCTAACTGACCCTGGTGGCCCCAGGGCCTTGGCATTCTGGGAACATCCAGTGTCCAGGTGTTTCCACCTGCAGGCCGTGTTTCCCGTAATTGCCTGAGAACCACACCAAATGTCTCCCCAGGATCAAGGAGACACTGTGGGGAGCCCGTGGCCGAAAATGTGGTCAGCGAGCAGTCGATCCCGACCCTTGGAGGCACCCAGTTAGAGCGAGGGCCAGATGCTGGGGCAGGGGAGGAACCGCTTTGTCTCAGGGTTAGGGACAGGCCGGAGGGTCCCATCCCCAGGGACTCTCTGGTCCCCATGGTGGTGCCAGTCTGCAGTTCTGGTAACTGCCACTAGGTGGCAGGGCCGTCTGGGCGGTGGTGGCCTCGCCAGAGAAAGCGCACCCTCCCCCGGGGCTGGGCAGCCCTGACCTGGCCACCCACCTCCAGCTCCCCCGAGAAGTCTGGTGCCCGAGGCCTGCTGTGGTGGCGGAGGGTCAGGCCGTGGTCTGGGTCCGGGGCAAGGCCCAGCTGACGGCGGGCACGCATCAGGGGCTCACCATGGCCCAGGGTGTGCTCCCCAGAGAGCCTGGGATGAGAGGGTGGGTGTTAGCAGGCAGGGGGGCAGAGGTGCAGGAGCTTCCTCTCCCCGCCATGCCTGGTCCCGACCACCTGAGCTGTCGCAGTAGCCTGCTGGGTCTCCCTTCCTCCAGTTCAGCCCCAGCCCACAGTCCCTCCCCCACTTGGTAGCCAGGCCTACTTTAAATATGCAAATCAGTCATTAGCCCCTTGCTCAAAATTATCTGCCTCCCCCACTGTACTGAGAAGAGAAGCTGGTCTCCTTGGCCTGGCCCATGGGTCACCATTATCTTCTTGACCTTGCCTCCTTGCTCTCTAAGGGCCGCCCTATGTTCCTCAAATAACCTAAGCTTATCCGGCCACAGGGCCTTTGCACTGGCTGTTCCCTGTGCAGAGTTTCCACAGTGTCAGTGACAGTACAATCCTGTGTCCTCTCTCCCTGCTTCCTTCCTTCAAAGCATTCACCATGCCTGAGTACTTATCATGCCTCTTGTTTAACTTTTCCATCCACTGGCATGTGAGTTCCAGGGGGTAGGGCACCCACTCTGTCCCTTTCAGCATCCTGTCCCTTCACCTAGAATGGGGCCTTGAGTAAAACCCACAAATATGCTCTCTGACTGAATGGATGAATGGGGTTGGCAAACTGGCTCAAGGGCCAAAGTTGACTTCCGCTTGTTCTTGTAAATAAATTTGTCCCGGAACATGGCCACACCCTTTTGTTTACATATATTTTATGAGAACACAGTTGAGTAATTATACCAGAGACCATATGGCTTAAAAAGCTAAAATGTTTGCTATCTGGCCCTTTATGAAAAATCTGACCCTGGGATGGATGGGAATATGGATGGATGGATAGACGGACAGGAGGATAGGCAGGTGGGGAGGGGGTGGATGGGTTGCTGGGTAGGTGGCTGAGTGTGTGGGTAGACGGATGGGTGGATTCATGGATTGGGGGGGAGGATGGATGGATGGATGGATGGATGGGTAGGTGGGAGGGTGGGTGGGTGGACGGACAGACGGGTAGGTGAGTAGGTGGATGGATGGATGGATGGATGGATGGGAGGAAGGACTGATCAGCCCAGGAAGAAGGGTAGGGGAAAGGGGTCCCAACGCCTTACCTCTAACAGCGATGAGGCTAAAAGCAGCTCCCATTTATGTGTCAAGCATCTTCCTGTGTCGCGTCTCTTAAGCCTCAGTCACCCTACACGCTGGAACCTATTGCTGCGTCTGCTCCTCAGGTGAAACACTGGACACTGAAAGCATGGCCCTGCCTACGGTCAGCCCGCCGACAAGCAGCTGACGCTGGCACCCAGCTCCCTCACACGCCCCCCCACCCCCGCGCTCTGCGGATGCGGTCATCTCTGCTCACCCCCCTCCACGGGCCCCTGGGCCCCTTCCCTGGGCCAGACTCACCCTGGGCAGGCCACAGAGCCCCAGGCGCAGGGAACGGTGCAGCTGGTGCGGGTGGCGGTCTCCAGCTCCCCCCGGAAGCTCTGGGTGGGGCGGGGGGCAGGGAGGATGCGCTCTAGCCTGGCCTCTACGAGCATCCTGTCGGGCTGGGACGGCCGGTGTCTCTGCGACGAGAGGGCACGTGAGGCAGGGGCTCATCCGTGAGAGGAGGGAACGGCCACGGCCAGCTGCAGACGGGAGACCTCACAGGGGGAGCGGGTGCGGAAGTCACCCTTAGCGCCCGGGCCGGCCACAGCAGACACTCGTACTCTGGGCAGGATGTCTGCTGGAGGCGCCAACGGGGCCGGGCCTGGGGGTCTCAGAACCCGGGGGCAAGACCCTGCAAGGATCAAGGTTGGCTTTCAGGGCTAGGTGTCCCCATTTCTCCACAGCCCAGTCCCCACCTCAGCTGCACAGTGATGCCAAGAAGACCCTGACCCAGACGCCTCCAGGAACCTGAACTACTCCGCTGTCCCCCCCAAAAGCCCACTGCACACCAAGGCTCACCGTGCAGACATGGGCTACTCATGGTCCCGCAGCATGGCTAGCACTTGCACCCAGGACCGCGTGGCTTCAGAGACCAGCGCCTTCTACAGCACAAGGGGCCGCCCTGGGGTTTACCTGCCTGGGACCCGGCTTTCCTGGCCTGGCCTCGGAGGTCAGGTTCTGCCGCACCCGGCGGCCGGCCCAGGACTGATGGAGCCGCTCACTGAACGCGGCCAGGGTCTGTGTTAAGGCCCCACAGGCCCCGAGGGCGCCCAAGCCCCAGGAGTTCCGGAACTGACTGGAGATGGAGTGTGGAACCCCGGGCCAGCACAGGGACCCCGAGTTAGGAAACGCAGTCCCGCCAGCGCCTGCCTGCCCCAGCGAGGCGGCCAGGCAGCCGTCCCCGATTGAATCGTACCCCGAGGACCTGCCGGTCAAGGCCAGGTGCAAGGTCACGGGCTGCCCTCTGTCCGGGACCAGCTGCACCTGCGTGGAGATGGAGGCTGGTGAGGGGGTGGGTGGGGCAGAGAAGAGGCTGATGGTCCCCGCCTGTGTGTGCCCTGCAGGTCAGGGCGGAGTGATGTGGGGGTAGAGTGGGGAGGGTGGCCCCCTGCCCACCACTGGAGGCAAAGTCCCTGTCCCTGCCCAGTCTGCAAGCGCTCCACTCCGAGCCACGCCCTACGCCCCGAGCCACGCCCTACGCCCCGAGCCACGCCCTACGCCCCGAGCCACGCCCTACGCCCCGAGCCACGCCCTGCGTTCTGAGCCACGCCCTGCGCCCCCGAGCCACGCCCTACGCCCCGAGCCACGCCCTACGCCCCGAGCCACGCCCTATGCCCCGAGCCACGCCCTGCGTTCTGAGCCCCCCCCCCCCCCCCCCCCCCCCCGTTCAACCTCCCAGAATGCTATTCCTCCAGCTTGCCACAGGGTGGCTCCCTCTCACTTGTGAGTCCTCAGCTGACCAGACACTTCCTCCAGGAGCCCCTCACTGACCACTCCATCTAATTACTCTCAATCTCAGGCACCTCCCTGCTTTCTTCACGGTGCTTATGACAACTCTTTTAATTTTTCCTCAGTCATTTGCTTGAATTTTAGACAGCATCTTTGGCCTGGCACACAATGGCTACTGTCTGCACACACTGGTCTACAGTCTTCCATTTCACAGCTGAAGAAACTGAGGCTCAGAGAGGGTCCACGAGCTGCCCAAGGCCACCCATTGGGTTGAGGAGTCCATCTGCCCTTGCCCATACCCCTGAAGTTTCTGACCAAAGGGGTGTATAAATGATGACTTAGACCTGCTTGTAAGCTCTTCAAAATGCACGACTGTGCACCTCACACTTCACTTCCTGATATGCAGTAGGTGCTTAATAAGGTACTGACAAAGGAATGAATGAACAAAGGACCGCTTGGGGTCCCAAATTTCTGGAATCCATGATTCTAGAGGACTCCATCACAATGACAGACAAGCAGAACCTTCTCCCCCTCCCCCCCACTCCACGCCTGGGGCTCAGCCCTGCAGCTTACCAACCTCACCAACCCCTAACACCCTCACCGCAGGCACCGCAGGCACCGCAGATGCTCCCCGCTCACCTGGCGGCTCTGTGTGCTACCCCTGCCCTCAGCAAGGCCACTGGCCTCCAGGCAGGACCAGGAGAGGTTGAAGGGGTGAGCCAGGGCCAGGCGGGGGGCCAGCCTGTCCTTCCCCAACTGCAGGGAGGAGGAGACCAGCACCTGGGGAGGGGGACAGGCTGAGCCGGAGGCCTCGCCCAGAAGGGCATTCCCCTCCCTACCCCGTACAGACCACCTTCTCCAAGTCCAAGAGCATGAGAGCAGCTGGTTCTGAGCACCAAACTCCCAGGCCTGCGGGGGAGCCCCGGAGAGATTCAGCCCATTCTGCAGAGAACAAAGTTGAGGCTTGCGGAGGAGGAGGCAGGGACAGTGTAGGATGGAGATGGAGCTGAGGATGGTGATGAGGACACAGGCATCAAGGGGTTAGAACGGCAGTCCTGCCTTCCACGAGCTGTGTGACTCCAGGCAAGTCACTGTACCTCTCTGAGCTTCAGTGGCATCTCTGAAAGCGGGGCTGCCATACCGGCACATGATAAGCCTTCACCAGGCGCTGCCCACTGGTGTTCCTGGTGTTGCTCAGGCTGTGCTGGAACCCAGAGGCCACTCCCTGCCCCGTGCCTTCCCCACAGTCCCATGGGGCCTGCAACCATGGGCAGGCCTGGGCCCCGAGTCCCTGCTCGGGCTACAGGCAGAGTAGACTTCCCGGGGTCTCCGTCCAGCCCGGACACCCACCTGGTCCTTGCCGTCCCAGCCCATGGCCAGGCGGTCCTGGCGTGCACGTCGTGAATGCTCGGAGGTCAGGCTGAGGCGGCAGTGTCGCGGCACGGGGAGGCGCAGCAGGTGCGTGAGCCCCACTGGGCAGGGGTGCGGGGGGGGCGGGCGGAGAGGGCCCAGGGGACCTTAGCAGACACGGCGACCACCTCGAGCAAGGTTGCCGCCAGGAGGGCCACGTGCCCGGGTAATCCACACAACGTTCAGAAGCTGCACCTTACTGGGTCACCAGGCCCCTCAAGCCACCCCTTCGCCATCCCTGGGAGATCCCCAAATCTCTCGAGACTCTGCCCTCGTGCATCGAGAGATGGAATCTGTTCCCCCTGCCCTTGAACCTTGCGACTTATTAATACGATTTGGGGAAGGTGATGCTGTCACATCCCAGCCCAGGCTCTGAGAGGCCTCGGCTCTGTCTGGCCCCCTGGGAGCCCCTCCCTGGCGCCATGGCAGCCAGCCCGCCCCCCAAAGAGTTGGAGAGCCCAGCCAAGGTCAGCAGCGGCCCGTCCCCAACCTGATGCTTACTGGTGCAAGCCACTGCATGGGGGGACAGCTGTCACTCAGCAAAAGCTGCCTGGTCCACCTCCCACCCCACATCCTGACACTCCCGGGTTACCCAGCCTGTGGTCATTCCGTCCTGGGGTGGGACACGGGGCTGTCCCCATAGCTGCGGCTGCACACCGGGCAGCCTCCTTGCCCAAGATGGTCCTCCCTCACCCTCTATGCCGGGTCTATCTGTCCTGACCTCTTGCAGGCCTTGACCCCTGCTTGTGAGACCGTGGGTGGGTCCCGCCTTCTGAGGTCCCTGGGAGGGGCCATCTGAGACTCCGCGGTAGGGGCTGGCCACCTTGGGGACCTCTGAACTCTCTGGAAGGGTGCCCCCTGTTCCCATACGGGCTCCTGGGAGCTGTGCTCGGAGACGGTGCCGCTAGCTGCTTAGCCCTGACCACATTCGTGCGCCCTGCGCTCACAGCCCCGGCCCTCCTTCCTCTCCGACCCTCAGAGCAGGTCCTCAGGCTGCCCGGCTCACCCCTGCACGCACCCCTGCACCCTCGTGTGCACACACGCACGCTGCCTCGGCGTACTGAGGGTCTACGCATTTCTTCTGCCTGGCAGGGCACACGTGGGGCGGCTGTGACCCGGGGGGGCCATCAGACCACCCAGCAGGCCGCGCCCCCGGGACCGGGGTCTGCACTCTGTCTCCCGCTCAGCTGGCGGGCAGATCGGGCTCTGCTCTATGTAAACGGACGGTCTGCGTGGCCCCACAGCCCCTTCCGGGGGGGCTGTTTCCTGGAGGACCTCGGGGGACCCAGGGGCCGTCGGTGGGGCTGCTGTGGGACAGCACTTACCCGCCCGCCCGCGCCAACCGCCCCCCAGCAATGCTCAGGGCTGCCCCTCCTTTCATACGTCCTGTCTCATCACTCAGGGGACTGTAACTCCAGGCTTGGGGCTGGGACCCTGCACGGCCGGGGTCCCTCAGCCCTCCCGCCTGTCTCCACCCCTCGCTCCCCTTCAGTGCACTCGGGCCACTCTGGCCTCGCTGCTGTTGCTCCAGCCGGCCCAGGCTTATTCCCACCTCAGGACCTTTGCACCTGCTTTTCCGTTTCCCCACGAGGCCCCTCCTCAGATCTTCACAGCCGGCTCCTTCTCCGTTCAGGGCTCAGCTTGGACGTTCCCTCCTCACACAGGCCTCCCTAGGCTGCCCCACCTACGGGAGCCCTGCACCCCCAAATCAGCCCTTCTCACTCTCGGAAACACCCTGCTGTGCTTTTCCTCATGTTCGCAGCCCTGCGCACTGGCCTCCTCCCTGCGGGCAGGGACCTGGGCCGTCTTATTTCCGGGTGGGTCTCCAGTGCCCGGAACAGCACCTGGGCTCAGCAAACACTCAATGATGGTTTGGGGAGTGAGTGGACCGGCCGCCCCTGCCAGGGCCCCTCAGACACTCACCCCGGAGGCCGAGGTCCCCAGAGGGTCTGGGGAAGGGCCCCTGGAGGCTCCCGTTGACGGTCACCACCTGCTCGTCCCAGAGAACCATCCGGCGCAGGGTGCGGTCCCGCGGGCTCCCTCCTACGAGGTCTGCAGGGCCAGGTCCCCGGGGACGGCGCCGAGCTGGAAGAGAAGGACGGCCCTGGGTCACCGGGCAGCCTGGTCCCCGCTGCTGCTCGCGGCAGAAAAGAAGAGGCGCTTCCAGAAGAAAGACAAGGGACGTTCGTGGGTCACTAGCAGGGTGTGCGGGCCCGGGGCTGACCGTGCGCTGCACGCGGGAGGCGCTCCTCAAATGCTTCGCGAGCAGGCACGGGGTGCAAAGACAGCCCACTGCCCCGCTTGACGCAAGACACCCGTTATTCCCCGTCCTGCGGCCGGCGGCTCCCTCCCTGGTCCACGCAGCGGCCCGAAGCATCTGACCTCATCACTTGGGCCACGTCCTCAAAAAGCTTCCGATTTCAGAGAGAACTAAATCCAAACGCCTCCCTGCAGCTTGCCACGAGCCCACGTGATCGGCCCCCCACGACCTCCTACCACATCCATAATCCCGCACTCTGCTCCAGCCCCGTGGCCATTCCTCAAACATCCCAACTCATTCCTGCCCCAGGCCCTTTGTGTGTGTTATTCCCTCTGCCTGGAAGGCCCTTCCACCAGATTTTCAAATGGCCAACACTTGCCTGTCGGCTGGGGCTAGCTCAACTGTCACCTTCTTTGTGAGGGTTTCCTGGCCACCTAATGAGCTCCCCCGCTCTCTATCACCCCACTTTATTTTTTCTACAGTATGTATCACCATCTGGAATATTTTCTTACTGATTTAGCCACTTGTGGGGGGAGTCCGTCTCCCTACTGGATGTACACTGGGTGAGAGGAAGGATCCGCCAATCCCACTCCAGGCGAAACCCTCTGCTTCTAGAGTAATGTCTGGCCTGGACCCTAGAAAGGGCTCGATAAATAATGTGCAAGGGAAGGAGGGAGGGAGGAAGGGACAGATATAGGGACCAGCTGACAATCCATTCCGGCGACTCTCGCCGACTCCACAGCCCATGACAATTTCTCTTCTCTTGAAGCGCTGCCCCAGGAGCCCCCCAGCCTCGGGGGAGCCCCAGGAGGCCCCCAGCCTGGCTGCCCTCCAAGCACCTGGGGGAAGGTCTGCTCCAGCCTGATGATCCTGGTGAGACTGGCGTTCGCTGTCACCAGCCGGGTGCCCACGTGGACATGACGCTCTTCCACCGCCACGAAACCCGCGCTCTGGGCCTCCTGCTCGGAGTAGCGCAGCTGGGTCGGAGGAAGCGCAGGGAGAGACTGCGTCATTGGTTCCTGATGGGACGCTCACATCGATGCGGGCTCCAGGCTGGAGGCTCTGGCCCGACACACCCACAGCTTCCCGGACTGGGTGAAGTCTGATGAAATGAGGGTCCCGAGCCTCGGGTTAGGCTAGTGGGTGTGCCCATGCCAACAACCTCTCCAAGCCCTTCAAGCTGTAACACGGACTTGAAGGCAGCTACTAGCCCGGGGCTGTCAGGCAAGAATTCTGGTCGCGTTACTGTCGTGGACAGCAGGGGGCAGTCTAGCGCAGGGATCAACACACAGGCAGGGCCTGCAGACAGGTGCCCATTCTGGCTCTATGGCTGTCACAGGGGGTGGATGACCTCTGGCTAGTTCCTTAACCGCCTGAGTCTCTGCTTTCTAACCTGATAAATCGGGATAATGACACATTTTATTAACGTGTTGATGTGCAAAGTGTATGAAATCATGTGCTATCTTCCAGACTGGCTACGTAACAGAATCACTTAGGGCACTAGGCACAGATATAGATTCTGGGTTCCTACCTACAGCTTGTCAAAACAGAACCTCTGGGAACAAGGTGGAGAAATGGGTATTTTTACATTTTTTCTTAGAAAGAGCCTGCATGCAAGCAGGGGTAGAGGGCACAGGGAGAGAGAATCTTAAGCAGGCTCCACACTCAGTGCAGAGCCCGATGTGGGGCTCAATTCACTATAAAATTGTTCTAATTTTCCAGTGTCTGAAAAGTTTAATAGTAAAAATATTGGGGGGGGGAATAGGTACTGGGCGGGAGACAAATTTCTAAATCAGGGGTCCCCTTTGGGCCAAACTTGGCTCACTGCTTGATTTTGTAAATAAAGTTTTATTATAACAGCCACGCCCACTTATTTACATATAGTTCATGGCTGCTTTTTTATTACACTCTCAGTGCTGTGCATTGCAACGGAGCCCATACTGGTTTTAAGGGCTAAAATATTTACTATCTGGCTCTTAAGATCTGCAGACCTCTGTTCTAGATTAAGAAATTGAAAAAGAACAATTAAGTACCCCGGGTGATCCTGCAGAGTGTCCTAGATTTAAAACGAATTAAAAACAAATTGAAAAAACCCAGCTTGAAAGGACATTATTGGGGCAACTAGAAAATCTTATTATGGACTCTATATTAATAATAGTATTACTACATCACGTTACATTTCCTGAGTGCTGTGCTTACACTTTGTTATATAAGAAAAGAGACTTGTAATAGGAACACTCACTGAGTATTTATAAGTAAAGTGGTGTGATGTGTCCAGAAACATGTTTGGATCATGTCTCAATAGCACAGAAAAAAATGTACGTGTGTGTGTGTGTGTGTGTGAGAATATACAAATATACCTAACAAGTAAGTATAAACAGAAAGTCGTAGCAGGATGTTAACAACTGGGGAATGTTCCGTCCCACAATAACTTCCCTGTAGGGTGGGAAGTACACACAATATGGGGGGGTGGGGGGGAGCTAGGAGTTCCCTGAGTGATGGTGCATCTGCAAAGAAGCTTGGCCAGGACAGGGCCTGGCACACAGCAGGGGCTCTGCAAACATGCAAACAGAGGCGAGTGAGCCCCGGGCAGGGAGGACAGTTAACAAAACTGGGTGGCCAGGAGGATGGCGACCCGCTGGCAAACGTAACCACAGGTCACTCATTCCGTCAGTCAGCATCTTGCCCGGAGCACCTACTATGTGCTGGGCCCAGGGCCGGGGAGGCCCCCCAGAAGCTCCTGATCTGGCCTGAGTTGCAGACAGGGACACAGGTCATGGAGGGAGGGGGGGGCACACCAGCCTGGGTCCGCCATCTACCCCCAGGACCCTCAATGCCACGTGCAGGCCAGATGCGTGACCAGGGGCTGCGCCGGGGGTCCCGGGGGAGAGGAGGCTTTGTGGGCAAGGGCGGGAGGGCACACAGAGAGCCTGGGCCGTGGGAAGACCAGGGGGCACCCGGGAGGCCGATCCAGCCGCCGGGAGCGCAGCAGGCCGGCTGAGACGGCGCTTGGTGCCCAGGCCTCCCCTGCTGGGGCTGCAGGCCTGGCCCAGGAATGTAGGCCTGGGGGTGTCTGAGAACGCTGGGCCCAGAGTGTCCGAGGGCAGCCCACCGGACAGACGTGGGCGGGGTACACGCCCCTGCGGGCCCCCCAACTCCGGCCCCCACAGGGCTTCTGGAACCAGTCCGGGCTCGGGGGCGGCCGGGCACAGTTACCTTGGCAGAGGCTGAGGCTCGTCTGGGGCAGCGGCCCAGGAGGCCAGGGAGGCAGTGCTGGCCCGAGAGGTGCAGCTCTTTGCTGGAAGGAAGGGAAGAGCAGGGCTGAGCCCCGGCACCAGGGCACCCCCGGCGGGGCCAGACCCCAGGCCAACCCCCCAGCAGAGGGTGGGGGGTCCACCACCCTGGCCAGGGCCTGGGGAGGGGCGATCACAGGCCCCAGGCCCACATGGTGCAGTGGTCAGGGCCGCTGTCCGGGGCCAGCTGACACGCATTTCAATCCCTGCCCAGCCTTTGCCTGGCGCTGGCAGGTTGGGAAAGTTCCTCAGTTGCCCTGAGCCTCCATTTCCCCTCCGCATAAGGAGCTAGAGCGGTACTGGGCTGAGGGTCTTCTGCGGAGCTTTTTTTTTTTTTTAATTTTTTTTTTTTAATTTTTTTCAATTTATTTCTAGGAGAGAGAGAGAGACAGCGTGAGCAGGGGAGGGTCAGAGAGAGAGGGAGTCACAGACTGAAACAGGCTCCAGGCTCTGAGCTGGCAGTCAGCACAGAGCCCGACATGGGGCCCGAACCCACAAACCGCGAAATCATGACCTAAGCGAAAGTCGGACGCTTAACCGACTAAGCCACCCAGGCACCCCATGCGGAGCTCTTGAGGCTTGGCCAGCGGAAGCCTCAGCAGGGTCTAGACGGCAGGACTCTAAACCTGGGCTCGCCCCTGGCAGCCGTGTGCACACAACACGCTTTCCCCAGGCCCCTCCAGGCTGGGGTGCTCACGGCTGACCAGGGCTGCAAGCTCCGGGCTGCCGACCCTTTCTGGTGGCTTGTCCACACTGTGGTGTCACTCGTGGCCGTGGGCTGAACTGTGCCGTGAGCAGCCTCGGTGGCCTCTGCCCGCCAGAGGCCAGTAGCTCCCAGCTCCACCGACCACAAATTTCTGCAGATGTGGCCAAACGCCCCTGGGTGGGCAGACTCACCCCTCAGTGAAAACCGCCGGTCGGTACAGCTCACAGCTGGCTTGCTCACCCCCCTCAGCGACCCGGTACGAGCGTTGGAGCCTGGGGGTCGCCTGACTTCACACACGTGCGTGAGGCCACCAGACATGGGGCCGGGCACGCAGCAGGTGGACAGACTGAGAAGCTACAATAATTGCTTATTTGAATTCGAGGCCTAGGATACATTTAGTTTGAAACCAGGAGCTCCTCATCCGTGTCCTGCCCCCACAAAGGTCAAGGTTATTTTTATGAGCTGTGTGACCTCAGGTGGGTTGCTTTGCCTCTCTGATCCTTCCTTTGCACATTTGTGCAGTAGGGCTGTGGGGAGGGTTCAAAGAGGCGCTGGGGGGTTAGAGGTCAGCACCCGGTGGGGCTCTGCCCATCTCTCCCTCTCTTCTCGGGGGGCCCCCAGAGCGGCAGACAGCCCCTCACCTGAGCACCCAGCTCTGGCCACGTACATCGAGGACCAGGCTGGCTTGAGAATCACAGGTCAGGCAGAGGGAGGAGCGCACCTGCTCCTCTGCCCAGAGCTTCTAGAACACGAGCTGAGGAAGCAACAGGCTGTGAGGCAGGGGGAGTACGGAGGCCTGCGGACCCTCCCGAGCCAGGCCCCACCCTGCAGTCCACGGTGCACCCCCCAGGCCTGCCCCCGGACACCAGCAGAGACTGGGCGCAGCCACAGCTCCCCACCACCGGGCCCGAGTCTGCGCAGAGGGGAGTTAGATGAATTCAGGGGGAGCGGGAACCAGCCCACTCAGTTGGGGGGGTGCAGTGACACAGACCCCCTGCAGGGGGGGACAGGGCCCCTGGGAACAGCCTCTCCCCAGGGCAGAGTGGAGTGGGGGCAGGGACTGCTGGTCATTTGCTCCGCAACAAGAGGTTGAGAATGAGGCTTCCGGAACGTGCCGGTGACTCTCAGGGCAGCCAGAGGGCTCGGCCAGGAAAGGCGACTATGCCAAGTGACAGGGCCGGAGCCTCACCCCATGCAGGGGCCACAGTGGTCCCTCTTCTCAGAGGCGGGAGGGCCTTGCGGGAAAGGGCCCGGCTGCCGGCCTGAGTCCCTTTCGCTGCCCGCCTGCTAGGTGACCTTGGGCAGGTGGCGCACACTCTCACGTGTGACCCAGAAACGGTGAGGACAGTGATGTGGATGCTCTCCTGGGTGTAACTGATCTAACTCTCCATCCTCCCCCCACCCCCACTCTCCCCACCCCGGGCTATCAGTACAATGCTCCTCCCGTTTCAGGAGGAGCCTCAGGGCACAGAGAGGCTCAGGAATCCGCCCCAGGCCACACAGCCCGCAGGCGGCAGAGCTGGCATCCGACTCCCAGAGCCTCAAGCCTGCCTCCGGTGGGGACTTAGGAGGAGGAAATGAGTCAATGCACAGAAACCCCGGCGCTGAGCCCCCGGCAGGTGCTCCACAAACCAAAGCTGGGCTTTCCCTCGAAGGCGAGACCACAGGGGCAGAAAGAGCACCGGGGCGGGGCTGGAACTGGGGCTGCGGGAGGCCGGCCTCACCCCCACCCCCACCCCCACCCCCGCGGCTGGGGAAACACGCTCAGCAGACGCGCTGCAGCTTTACAAACCGTAAAGCGCTGGAGAGACAGGCGGCAAGAGCATTGGCCGGTCGCGCACACAGCAGCTCTCCGGTCCCGCACACAGCAGCTCCCGCGCACGCTGGGAACGGGACGGAGCGGGGAGAATCAGGGGGGAGGCCGGCCCGGCGTGGGGAGCGGGGGCCCGTTTCTCACCTGGCTGGCGGAGGGCAGGCCCAGCCTCCGGAGAGCGGGCACCGCGTGTCTGGCATTCACCACCAGCTCCAGGGCGCCGTCCGTCGGCCAGGCCACCAGGGCCCCAGGTCCACGCCAATGCCATCGTCCCATCCGTGGAGGGCCATGCCGGCCTGCATCTGGGTCTCTAAGGGCAGAGAAGGGGATAGGCTGCTAGGGACTTGGTTCGCCCCCTTTCCCGTGCGGGATCAACCCCAGGCAGGGCTTTCTTCTTTGACCATTGGGACATCGTCCGGCAGGAGGCACCCCCTCCGCCCCCATGGCTGGCTTCCTCCCCTGGGGGTTGCCGCCCAGCTGACACCCCTGACTGTCCCTCCGGAGCCCCTTCCTGCTCCCTCCCTGGGGAGGGTCAGCCCTGCAAGGACGCAGCCTTTACTTTGCTCCGGGCTTCACCCCTGCACTTAGCACAGCCTGGACACACCCCGGGGTCCTGGGCTCTGTGAAGGAACGGATGAATGAAGGCTTCTCTCCCGATTTCCAAAACATCCGATCACTATCAAATGATAGTGACCCGCTGCTTGCCTGGCCCAGGCCGGAGGGCCCCCAACCCCCGGGAAGCTCTGCGGTGCCCAGCTGGACCCCAGCTCATCTGAGCAGGCAGGGGAAAAGCAAGCCTCAGTGGGGAGGGGAGGAGGATCCAGGACCTTGCTGCTGCTTCTTTTTGGACTTAAACTTGTCCCACTCCATCAGAAAATAGTCACCCAGGGTGAGCGGATGAAGCCTTGCCTATGTCAGAGGCCAGGTTGCTGGGGGGTGCAGCTCACAGCCGCCGCCTGGGACACCCGGCCCACCACCCGTAAGCCTCGATTTCCTCATCAGTAAAGCGGGCACAGCCACAGCCTGCCTGCTTTGAACGACAAGATGCACAGAGATACCACACCTGAGAACACCCGGGGCACACAGACCCCATGAAGCCTTCTCCTCCTTCCCTCCCCATGCAGTGTCCAGCCACATGCATCTGCTGGGGTGGGGGGTCCCGAGGAGGAGGGACACACATCTGAAGGGGCCCCAGGTTCCAGAGCCCTGAGATGTTTCAGACCGTCAGGGACACCGAGAATGTCAACACCAGGCAGAAGATGCCCCCTAAGGGGTTGGGACAGCTGAACGTGGATGGCAACGCGCAAATAAGGAGTCTCCCCAGCTGCAGGGCGCTGGGTCGCTCTGGAATGACTGTCCCATCATTTACCACCACGTCCCAACAAACCTTTCCTCGGAGCAGTCCGTGCGGTCAGTCCCTCTGTCTGTTCCAGGTTCTCACTCAGGGGCCAAGGGTGGAAACAAAGATGACCCAAATGATGGGAATCCCCGCAGGGGTCGCGTCCTCTGCAATCTCCATGGGGTCAGAGGGGGGCTCTGGGGTCACACTGCCCGGATTCAGGTCCTGATCTCATCGTTCAACAGCTGTGTCCCCTGGGACAAGTGACTCAACCTCTCTGAGTCCCCACTCCTCCCCTGCAGAACGGGGGCCGTTACTGACCCCTACCTCAGAGATTCGTGAATTCATTCAACAGATGTTTAATTAAACACCTACTATCGTCCACTCTGGAAGTCAGGTAAAAGTCATCCCTGGGTCCCTGTGGAGTGCACATTCTCATGTGGGGTGGGCAGAAGACAAGCAACGAGAAATTAAGGTACTTAGTAAGTATGTTAAATGGTATGTTAGAGCGACCAAGCCAGGAAAAGGGATGGGGTGGGTTGGAGAAAGGTAGAGGTGCAAATAAATAGGGTGGGTGGGAAAGGACTCACTGAGATGACGACTTTGGAAAAGTAACTGAAGGAGGTGAAGAATGCAGTCAAGCAGCTATGCAGAGGAAGAACCTTCTAGGCAGAGGAACAGCCTGTGCAAAGGTCCTGAGGCAAGAGCAAGCCTGATGTGTTTGAAGACTAGCAAGGAGTAAAATGAGTAGGGGCCAGCAGACTCTGAGGGTCAGAGGCCCCCCTGTGGGCTTCGACCTTCCCTTGATGAGAATGGATGTCTGGGCAGACTCAGTGAGCTCCTGTGTATGGAGAGCTTCCCTGGTATGTATGCAGTAAGCACTCAATCAATGCTCACTCTTATTACTGTTACCTTCCCTTCCCCCTCCATCAAAAGTTAAACGGTTCCTCCCTAAAAATTATGTTGAAGTTGTAACCATGGGTGCCTGTGACGACGACCTGATTTGGAAGTGGGGTCTCTGCAGAGGTCATCAAGCTGACAAGGTCGCGCTGGAGTAGGGTGGGCGCCGATCCCATGTCTGGTGCCTTTATAGGAAAAGAGGCACAGAGCGACGGGAGGGACGTGGCCACAAGCCGGGGCACCGCTGAGTGGAGAGGCCAGGAAGCACTGTCCCCGCAGACCCCCGAGCTCTGACCTCTGACCTCCAGGGCTGTCCAAGGACAGGCGTCTGCGCTTTCCAGCCACGCGGTTTGCGGTGCGTGGCTGTGGCAGGAGCACGTGCCCCGCCGCGAATCGAGCAGGGACGCCCTGGGTGGTTCTGGAGCTCGGGACCCAAGGGGGGCCCCGGGCGCCTTACCGTGTGCCCGCAGCCGGGCGCGGACACGGGCCGCGCGGGACCCCCCCCCCCTCCGCCGCATGTAGCAGGGCCGCGCTGCTGTGCTCGCTCCAGGGGCCCGCGCGGTGTTCGGCAGCTCACGGAGTAGTTCAGGGAGGCGGCCCCGCCGAGACGCGTCGCGAGGGCTCAGAGCAGGAGCGGCCGCCAGGAGCGCGCACGGGCGCCCGGACCCACGCGGGGGAGCGGCCGCCGGGAGCGCGCACGGACGCCCGGACCCACGCGGGGCAGAGGCCGCCAGGAGCGCGCACGGACGCCCGGACCCACGCGGGGGAGCGGCCGCCGGGAGCGCGCACGGACGCCCGGACCCACGCGGGGGAGCGGCCGCCGGGAGCGCGCACGGGCGCCCGGACCCACGCGGGGCAGAGGCCGCCGGGAGCGCGCACGGGCGCCCGGACCCACGCGGGGCAGAGGCCGCCGGGAGCGCGCACGGACGCCCGGACCCACGCGGGGGAGCCGCCGCCCTGCATGGGCCGGGGGGCTGCGCGGGCATAGAGCTCACGCCCCGCCTGAAATCTCCTTAAGTTACACATAGTTCTTTAACTTTTTGTACTGTGGTCAAATACACATAATACTTACCATTTTAAGTATATTTTTAAATGTTTGAGAGAGAGAGATAGACAGCATGAGTAGGGGAGGGTCAGAGAGAGAGGGAGGGATTCCCAAGCAGGTTCTGCACTGTCAGCGTGCAGCCTGACGCAGGGCTCCATCTCACCAACTGCGAGATCATGACCTGAGCCGAAGTCAAGAGTAGGATGCTTCACCGGCTGAGCGACCCAGGAGGCCCGATCCCTTGGAATTTCTTGAGCAAGAGAAGCACCTTGTACTCTAAGGAGGGGACTCTCGGTGGCCGGCCACCGGAAAGACCACGCCTTCGTTACAAGTTGGAACCTCAGTGTCACCTCGCCTCCAGGGCCACGTGGAGGAGATGCTCACCATCCACGCTGGCCGTCATCCTGGCCGCCACGTGCTGTGGGGCGCTCTGCGCAGAAGTGAAGCCATGGGTGTCCCTCGGACCCGCTACACCGGCACCCAGGCCCTCACCCACCTGGAAGCGTCCGTGGGGAGGGGAGGCCCCAGCGCCTGAGGCCGGGCAGCGTGTGGGCCAGGCTGGCACGGAGCAGGCGGCCAAGGGCCGAGGGTGGCGTCCAGCTGAGCCCGGGCGCCCCGCACTGCCATGCAGGCCGAGAAGCTGGAAGCCGCATGCATGTGTGACAGGAGCATCTCTGCCGCCAAGGGGAGTCCTGGGGGCGAAAGGAACCACCCACATGACTGAGGCGCCCCCCAAAAAAATTTTTTTTAACATTTATTTTTGAGAGAATGAGAGAGCACGCCCAAACAGGGGAGGGGAGGGGCGCCTGGGTGGCTTAGTCGGTTAAGCGTCCGACTTTCGCTTAGGTCATGATCTCGCGGTTCGTGGGTTCGAGCCCCGCGTCGGGCTCTGTGCTGACTGCCAGCTCAGAGCCTGGAGCCTGTTTCAGTCTGTGACTCTCTCTCTGGCCCTCCCCTGGCTCACGCTGTCTCTCTCTCTCCTAGAAATAAATAAAAATACTAAAAAAAAAAAAAAAAAAAAAAAAAAAAAAAAAAAAACGGGAGGGGGGAGAGGGAGAGGGAGACACAGAATCCGAAGCAGGCTCCAGGCTCTGAGCTGTCAGCACACAGCCCGACATGGGGCTCAAACTCACGAACTGTGAGATGGTGACCTGAGCCGAAGTCGGACACTTAACCAACGGAACCACCCAGGCGCCCCAAGGATCGACTCTTGATTTCAGCTCAGGTCACGATCTCACAGTTCAGGAGATCATGACAGTGCGGAGCCTACTTGGGACTCTCTTTCTCCCTCTCTCTCTACCCCTCCCCCACTTGTGCCAGCACGCTCTCTCTCAAAATAAACAAGCATTAAAAGAAAAAAGACACATGAGGAGTTTCATTTCTATTAATGGTGGGGGAGGGTAACTGGCCCAGCACTCCCAAGGTAACAGTTGTGAACTCTGGGCAAAATTAAGAAACGGCAGCCATCTCAAGTGACCGGAGAGGGACTATAAACAGGCAGACCCTGGGTGGGAGGTAACACTTGGAGGAAATCACCAGCACCAAACGAGGTGTATGTTTTCACTCTCTTTGGTGCCATGAAGGTGGACGATGTTCGGACAGTCATCTGCAGTCTAACTGATTAAGGAATCTGAGAACAGGGTTGCCTGGGTGGCTCAGTAGTTAAACATCAGACTTCAGCTCAGCTCATGACCTCACGGTTCGTGAGTTCAAGCCCTGCGTCGGGCTCTGTGCTGACAGCTTCAGATTCTGTCTCCTCCTCTCTCTCACTTGAATAATTTGAAAAAAAGGCATATAGAAAATATCCTTCAAGAAGGAAGGGAAAACAACATTTTCAGACAAATCAAAATGAAGGGAATTTACTGCTACTTAGCTTGCCTTCCAAGAAATGCTAATGGTGGTTCTTCAGACAATTTTTTTTAACTTTATTTGAGAGAGAGAAGCAGAACGCAAGCAGGGGAGGGGGCAGGGAAAGAGGGAGAGAGAATCTCAAGGAGGCTCCATGCTGTTGATGAAGAGCCCAATGTGGGGCTCGAACCCAGGAACCGCGAGATCATGACCTGAGCCTAAATCAAGAGTCAAATGCTTAACCAACTGAGCCGCCCAGGCGCCCCTAAAGGTGGTTCTTTAAAATGACAGGGAATGATACCAGAAAGAAGTTTTGATCTATAGGAAGGAAGGAAGAATACTAAAAATGCTGAATACGCAAGTACAAAAGACTACTTAATTTCTCTTCATGCCTTTCAAGTCAACGTGACTAAAGCAAAAATTCTAATACTACGTAGTCGGTGTACCCTATGTAGGTCTAACACAGGAGGCAACCACAGCAGAAAAGGTCGGGTATGAAAGTCTAGGTTCTTACAATTTATGGGAAATGCTTCAATACAAATGGTACAGAGAATGTTAACTAACAGAAAGAGAAGTTTAAAGAACAATAGATAACTTAAAGCTGAGTTCAGTTTTTTTAATTCAGCCCAAAGAAGGCAGGAAAAGAATAGAGGAAGAAAAAATATGGGGAAGCAAAAAACAAAGAGCAAGATAGTAGCCATGAATTTAATTATATCTGTAATTCCATTAAACATCAACCGACTAACTAGTATAATTAAAAGGCAGAGATGAGCAGGCGAGACATAAAAGCAAAATCCAGGGGCGCCTGGGTGGCTCAGATGGGTGAGCCTCCAACTCCTGATTTCAGTCCAGGTCACGATCTCATGGTCGCGAGATGGAGCCCCGTGTCAGAGTCTGCACGGACTCTGATGCCTGCTGAAGATTCTTCCCTCCCCCACCCCTCCCATTTGGGCTCTCTCCTAGCGTCAGATGAGAGAGACACAGCACAGCTCACAATAAATGAGTTGATTCATCAAGACAGCACGACGATCATAAATGCTCATGCACCGGGGCGCCTGAGTGGCTCAGTCAGTTAAGCATCCGACTTCGGCTCAGGTCATGATCTCACAGTTTGTGGGTTCGGGCCCCGCATCGGGCTCTGTGCTGACAGCCAGCTCAGAGCCTGGAGCCTGCTTCCGATTCTGTGTCTCCTCTCTCTGACCCTCCCCTTCTCATGCTGTCTCTCTCTCAGAAATAAAGAAAACATTAAAAAAATAAATAAATAAATGTTCATGCACCAAATGCCAGCAGGTCAACATACATGAGGCAAAACTGGGCAGAATCAAAGGAAGAAATAGAGAAACCCCTAATCACAGGTGTAGAGTTTAACACCCTTCTCTCATTAATGACACAGTAATAAGTCAACAAGAAAATCAGTGAGGCTATCGATCAGGACCACACAACCAAGCACCTTGACCTGACTGTTGTAGAACATTACATCCAATGGGCTAAGGCGCATAAGGTATGTTCACAAGATAGATTATATGCTACCTCGTAAAACAGGTCACAAGAAATTTTAAAAACCTAATCCTCTGACCACCCAACGCAAATAGATATCAAGAAACCACCTAGAAACTTTTCAAATATTTGGAAATTAAGCAACATACTTCTAAATAATTCGCGGGTCAAAAGAAGAAGCCACGAGAGAAACGTGAAAGTATTTCAAAGGGAATAATAATGAAGACACACAACACATAAATTTGTGGGAAGCAGCTCACAGAATCCTGAGGCGCAAATATATAGTTTCATATACTTCCATTAGAAAAGAAAACAATCTAAAAATTAACAGCTTGAAAGTCCACCTTAATAAAGGAGAGGAAATCCAAATTCAGTGTAAGAAAAGAAAGGACAGAGAGAAGAGCTAGAGTTGATGAAACTGGAAGGAGACCACTAGACAGAAAACAAAAGCAAACCTCGCTTGACAAGATCAACAAAACGGACGAAATGTTAGACCAATAAAGAGACAGAAGGACACAGAACGACTATCAGGAACGAAACAGAAAACACGCTATAGATGCCACACACAATAAAAGAGTAATAATAGATATAAAGAACCACTTTATGCCAATAAATTTGACAACGTAGCTGAGACGGACAAATCCCTTGAAAAGCGTAACTTACAAACTGACACACGATGAAATAGATAATCTCAATGGCTTTATACCTAATCATTTTCCCGAAACCTTTTCCACAAAGAAAACTCCAGAAGGCTCCATGGGTAACGTCCATCAGACAAAGGAGCATGAATACCAATCTTATACAAACTGTTCTGGAAAACAGAAGGAGGAAATAAATACTCCTTGACCTGTTTTATGACGTCAGCACATGAAGGAAAAAGAATAAAAGCTTAACAGTGGAGAAACTTGGGAGACCCTGTGTTGATCAAGTGATCGAGGCTAATGTCACCAACACCGGGTCACAGTGGGGTGCCTGGGTGGCTCCGTGGGCGAAGCGTCCCGCTCTGGATTTCAGCTCAGGTCATGGTCTTGCAGTTTGTCAGTTCAAGCCCTGCACTGGGCTCTGTGCAGACATTACGGAACCTGATCAGGATTCTCTCTCCCCTTCTCTCTCCCCCTGCCTCACATGCTCGCTCACTCGCTCTCTCTCTCAAAATAAAGAAAAACTTTAAACAACTCTGGGACGTACTGATCTCAGGTACCTCCAAATATGATGGAATATATTGAAATATGATGAAATATGAAGCTACTGCTATAGCTTCACTTGAAAGTAGTCAGGAGGAAACATCAAATAAACCCTAAAGTGGCTTCCCTGTGCCCTTCAAAAATGTAAATACCATGAAAGGGAAAGAAATACTCTATGTTTTCTGATTTTGATAGCTGCTGTAGGAGAATATGTGTAAGAAAAACACACTGCACTATTTAGGAGTAAAGAACGATCACGTCTGCAACTTAGCAAATCACAGCTCAGGAATAAAGAGTATTTTTATACACAGATAAAAATGTCACATATACACATACATATATGCATGTGCACATATAGAGAGAAAAAAAGAGATAAAGAAGAATGATAAAGTAATTATGACAAAATGTCAGGAATTCTTTGTACTATTAGATTCTTTGTACTATTCCTGCCACTTTTCTGTAAGTCTGAAATTATGTCAAAATTAAATGCATTAGAAAAAAATATGCTTGGGAAACACTGCTCCCAACCCCACCTCCTGGGTTTTCCTAACGCCCATAAGTACATTAAAGGCTCTGACAAGTCCTGCATAAGGAAGTCTATACGGTATTTTGTTAGAAGGTTCCCTTTGTCAGAAGAGGTAATAATTTCTGACAAAGGGGTGTCATCCATGTGTGAGATGCTGAAAAAGACTATCGGTGGGCTTGAAAACATGCAGGGTTTCATCTACGCCGGGTTCCATACAAAGTGCTTATCTCCAAGACCCCCAATGCCCCTGCCCCATGGCATTCCCCAGGCTCACCCTCTCTGAATGACTCCTTCTGCTTCAGCATGCCCTTGACGGTCAGGAGGTGGGGCACAGCTGGCCAGCCAGCCACCGTGTGCTGGGCTCGGCTCCGCAGGGTCAGGACCTGGCCTCGCCTCTGCTCTGAGGAGGCCCGGACGACAAGCTGGGCCGTGCTCTGGTCCACCAGCACCTTGTAAAACAGCCAAACCCTAGAAAGGAACGTGATGGGAATCAGGGCAGCGGCTCCCACTGCAGGGGGCCCGTGAGCGGCCGGTGCCTGTACCCCGCTGTCCACGCCCACCCCAGGACTGCCTCTGTTGGGCTCTGAGCCCACGGGGATGCAGTGCGTTAGCAGCTAAGATGACAGGCTTTGGGCTCGGCCAAACCTGCGTGTGAACCCCAGTGCTGCTCAGTAAGTGGGAACAGGACAACCACGTAACCTCTCTGAGCCCTGGTTTCTTCTTCTGTAAAGTGGAGGATAAAATAGAACCATCGACGTTGAGTAGATATCGCTGATTCAGTGCATCATGTGATACGGAGCGATGAGAAAATCAACAGGCCCAAGAAGCCTGGTGTTAAACTTCTCAGAGATTTGGGGCAGGGGACACGGTCCCTACTGTCCACATAGGATGTTCTCTAGAAAACACCATGCGAGCACCTCTCTTGGGGGTCAACCCAAGAAACGGGGTCAGGCCTGGTCTCCCCAGTGCAGAGCACACACTGAGCGCGTGTGTTTCCCTACAGCCTTTGCAAGTAGTGCCACAGGTCGGTTTCTCTTTGTGCATTAGCTACTAGGATGCTCAGAGCCAAATCGTAAGCTGGACTCCGAACAGCATTTTGTTTCCTAAAGCCACGTGGAGCACGTTCGTAGTCCCTCATGCTTCTTTCCTTCCGTGCCTGTTTCCTCCTGTGTTTTGACAAACGCAGGACAACAGTCGGCAAACTGCGGGCCTGGGAGCCAAAACCAGCCCTCCACCTGTTTTGTAAATAAAGTTTTATTGGAACACAGCCGCACCCATTCCTGCGCATGTCATCTAGGATACCTCCGTGCTGCAGGACAACGTGGCTGCCACCGAGACCCTACAGCCCACAGATGCAAACGCACTTACCAGCTGGCCCTGTGCTGAAAGTTTGCCAATTCCTGTTGTAGAACAACATATGTTCTTATCATCTGCCTCAAACCCTTTTCAGACCGCAGAGAAGGACAGTCACTGGGACAGGGGATCAATAGAGGGAGGGACAGCTACAGATGGTAATTCTGGGGACAAAATCATCCAGGAGGTCACCTGAGGTCGTGGGTGTCCTCAAGGTCACAAACGCTGCTGACGCGGGAGCCGCAGGGGAAACAGGGCACGAATGTTTACTGGAGCCCGGGCCTGTGCAAAAATGTGTCACCCTCAGGGCAGCAGAGGTAATGGCAGCTGGGGAGGGACGAGTCTCGCTGGCCAGGCACCGCTGTGGCCGTCGCGTGTGCTGAGGACCGCCCAGAGAGGCCGGCTGAGAACCTGAGCACAGGACGGCACAGCGGCTGGCCCAGGTCCCAGAGGCTGAGCCGGGGCCTGAAGCCGGGCAGCTGGCTCCGTACCCCAGGCCGCCGATGGCCACGGCGCAGTGGACAGATGGACACGTGCAGTGCAGGTCATGATCTCGTGTTCGTGGGATCGGGCCCCATGCAGACAGTGGGAAGCCTGCTTGGGATTGTCTCTCTCTCCCTCTCTCTGCCCCTCCCCAACTCATGCGCTCACACGTGCGCACGCACTCTCTCTCTCTCAAAACAAATAAATGAATTTTTTAAAATGGCCTAAGTGGAGAGGATTTAGGCCTGGTCCCTGACTGACGGAAGAGGGCGCCTTTGAGCCATGATTTCTCATCTCCCCGGACACCAGCCCTTTGCCCTCATAGGGCCCCTCCCCACTCGCAGGGCCCCTGGGGACGCTCACCTGGCTGGGGCCACCTTGCTAGACAGTAGCAGCTCAACAGCCCTGGGACGTGGAGGACTGCCTGGTGGAGGAGGAGACTGCGCTCCAGGCCCTGCTGCTTCTCCGGGAGTCCTGGCTGGTGTCGGCCTCAGCATGAGCAGCTCCGATCAGAGGCAGGCACGGACAGGGCTCCGGCAGGACTTTTAAGTCCCACTGTGTTTTCTCTGACTGGCTTCTGTGGGTCCGAGGACTTCCATAAAGCATGCATTCTCCGTAGGGGCAGTATCGCCCCCAAAATGCAAAGCCTGGTTTGTGGGGGCTTAAAAAAAAAAAAGCTTCTGTGTAAATCGTAGATGTGCATACAGCAGGTGCAAAGAAATACCGGACGTCTGTGTTGTTAAAATTGCAGTGAGGGGGCGGATGGTACACGCCGCCGGCTGGTTTGTACACGCCCACCTTGAATGCCAGTTAATCACCGCCTGGGGAAGGTACGAACCCCGTGCCCCGTCAAGCAAGATATGTATGAAAAAGATGTTCAGCGTTCAAGGTCAGGGACTCCAGATGTGGCCAAGTGGGAGCATCTCCTTTGTAACAAAGAACGTCTGTAGGGCAGACCCTGATCTCCCTGGAGCTGGCCACGCAAGGAGGGAAGAGGCTACCGACAGCTGGCCGGGCTGGTTGCCGCTAATAAAAGCTCGCTGCGTGCAGATCCCAGGGGCGGATGTTTGCTCCCGTCTGCTGTTCCCGGCCTCCCCGTGTGAGTTTCCCCCCAGGAATCCCGTTTTGTTTGCCGAGTCATGTCTTCCATCTCGCTGGGCCATCACCTGCCCTGAGCTGCGTAACTGGCGAGCCAGCCAGGAGGCTGGAGACCCCCCCATGAGTGTTAAGGTGCTGGAAAGGGGAGATGGGGAAAAAACCCGTGCGGGGAACGTCAAGTTGGCGAGTGAGCTCTGTGGGGGGTGGGGATGGCCCACGTGTCAGATACGGGCGGAGCGCCGTGTGAGGATGCAGACCCCCTGAAAACGCCAGCGGGTCTCACGCACCTGTTGGAGACGCCGCACACAGGGGCAGGGAAGGGAAGCGAGAGCGGGAGGCTAAGTGAGAGAACTCCACGTGCATTGTGCGAAGCCAGGAGGCCACGGGGCGCCACCGATGAGGAGGCAGGCACTGGATTAACAGGTATTTACCCAGAGGATACGAAAATAACTCAGAGGTATAAATGAGATTCCGCCAAGAGATTCTGCTGTCTGGGATGGGCTGCAGTAGTTAGCTACAACGTACGCACAAATGATGGAAGTGGCCCCACCGTGCACAGAGAGGCACATGGGGACCACACAGGCCAGAGGCCGTGATGCAGGAGGGACACGCGCACAATGATGCACTCGCACTGGACTCCTCGCTGCCGGTTTCTGGCTCTGGAGACGCACGCATCCATTCCCACAGGTGCTGTCCCCTCTCCGCGGGGACGGCTACGGGCATGTGGTGCCCGGGGCTGGACACTCTACCTGGGAGCTCCCCTGCCCGCCGGGCCGCATACGCACTCACTCACAGGACAAACCTATCAGGAGGGAGGCGGTCAGGGCCAGACAAGAGAACCGAAAGCACATCTCAGCGGCTCTATCCCCTGCCCGCGTCTTCCCCCCTGCAGCCACACGGACACAGAGTGACGGGCAGACACACGGCTGCCATCTTTAATTCCACCTGTAAGGCAATCCCGCTCCTTACCTAAGAGAGTTCTCTAAAAAGACGAGTAGTTCTGCCAAATGCAATAAGAGCCCGTGATGTGTTCACCGCCACACAGGAAGGGACACGCGTGCTCATCAACACCAGCGCTGCTCATATACACCTGAGTGTTCTCCTGTCTCCCAGGCCATGGCTACTTTAAACACACATAGGAAACCTGCTGAATACCTGGCTACCGACCCGGCTGGGTTCAATTGCCTGCCTTCTTCCTAACCAAAGGTTTTCCATAGTTTCGTAAGCATCGGTGTTTTCCTGGTGCTGGGATGCCGTGGCTTGTACTGCGGCCCTGGGACTTGGTTGCACTGCGCCTCGGCATACCTGGCCCCTGCGATCCTGCGGCAGAGAAACGTGTCAAGAACGCAAGGGCCATCCAGTGCGTACGGGGGCCGAGCGTGCGGTATGTGCTGCCGGCTGGTTTGCGCAGGCGCACCCTGCACAGCCCGGTCAATCACGGTCTCGAGAATGTCCACAGCCTGCGCTCCCTCTATATTCCCATCAAGCAGGATATGCAGGAAAAAACATGCTCCGTGTTCAAGGTCAGGGGCTCAAAGGGTGGCCAGCCGGGTGCGCCTCCTTGATAACAAAGAACGTCCGGAGGACAGGCCTCGATCTCCTTGGAGCGCGGGCCAGGCAGGGAGGGGGAGGGCTACAGACACTGGCCAGGCTAGGTGCTACGTTGTAGAAGCTTGCTCTGTGCACATTCCAGCAGCAGGTGCTTTGGGGGGTGGGGGCTTCAGAGATGGGGACAGAGGCTGGTAAGCCTGAGCTCCCCGGCCCCTCTTTCCCCAGAGATCATGTAAACAAAAGGTCCTGCTGTTTTAAAAGTGATGCTCAAGTCTGAGCCCATGAGATGGCCCAGCTGGGGACATGGCTCTGCGGCCAGGCTGCCCAGGTTCCCAGCCCGGACCCTCCCTCACATGCTCAGTGACCCCGTATGAGTCATGCCACCTCCCTCTGTCTCCGACTCTCATCTGCAGGACGCTACAGCGTCAGAGTCATGGCGAATTCGCGAGAAGAGCCACGTAAAGGGGCCGAGAACGGAGCCCAGCATGTGGTAAACAACAGACAGCAGCGCCCGTCACGATGGATTATGGGCACAGCACGGCCTCAAATCTGGGACGCCAGCGGCCCTGAGATGCGCCAGGACTTTATGGGCCCCGGCGGAGGCCAAACCGAGGGTAACAAAACAACGAGGCTGTGTGGGTCTGGAGACACATCCTGACTTCAGAGCTGTCAACACCGGGTAACAGGTGCTTCTGAGAGGGGCCCGTTTTCATAACCGAAAGCTCTTCTCGGGCTCCTTGAGAGCTTCCAGAGCCGTCAACACAGGGAAGCACGCACAGCAGGCATTTAAATTTGCCATCGAGTTCCGAGCCTCGTCACCCGTGGGACTATCTCTCTACCCCTCCATCCCCCGAACCCACTGCCTAATTCCTGTGTACGCGGCGCATACAATGTGCTCCACGAAGCAATCCACGTGCAGGGGCTTTCTAAGCACCCAGTGCTGGGTGCACAGAGCTCAGCCTTCCTGCCCGGCTCCTTTTCTCTGCCCTTTATTTCCTTGTCGAGTGAAACCCTTCGGTGTTTCTACCCCACACCGAGCAAAATACTCCGGGGTCAAAAAAAAAAAAAAAATGATCAGATGGCTTCTCCCAAATACAAGACAGGGTTTAGAGGACAGTTGTGCTCCTCTGCATGTGAAATGTGATCGTTCTACCCCCAGGGAGCCAAAACCCCCTTCTGGCCCAGACAATTACTTCCAAATGATGGATTTGGAAAGCTCCCTGCCATCTGCTCTTGATTCTGGACTGGCTGAGTCTGGCTGAGCTTAACGTCCTGGGGTGGCCTCCCACGCACCCCCCGCCCCACACCGGGGCCTCCGTCCTCCCTGCCTTCCGCCCCACCTCCCAGCAAGCTGGCTGCTCAGAGACAACACTTGGCAAGCAATCCAAGGTCATCCCAGAGGACTCACGTCCGCACCTGAAAGTTTGGAGGAAACGTGGGTCTATGGGGATGCCAGAGCTGGAAAAGGAACTCCAAGTGGGAGCCAGATCCGTTGAGGGGGAGGGGGAAGAGGAGGGTCAGAGAGAGCAGAGGAGGGAGAGACAGAACGCAGAAGGTAGCTGGCTGGGCACTCGATGGGAGACAGGCATCCCAGAGTTTGCCCAAAGCCCAGGCCAAGAGCAGATGCCAGAAACGACCTTCGGTGATGCCTCTTAGCCCCCAAATCTTACTCAGGCTCGGTTACTTGGAAGCTTCAGAAGGCAGGCCACAGACGTGGGGCTGGGAAGCTAACTCTGGGACCCTGGGCCCCCATGTCCCCCGCCACGGTGTCTGCTCATGCCTCCCATGAGGCTCCATTCTATTTGACCTTGACCATGAAGCAGGCATTAGACTACTGGCTTTATAACTGTTGCCTCATTTAACCGTCACTCCTGCTCTCACAAGCTAGTATTACGAACCCCATTTCATAGCTGGAAAAAAAAAAAGATATTCAGTGGGGTTGAGTACTTTACCCAAGGTCACACAGCACATCAGCAATGGAGCTAAGAGTTGAACTTGAAAGCTCCTTGGAAATGAAGACGGAAACAGTCACCTGTACATCCCGAGCACATAGTGCAGAGTGTGGTGTGTGGCAGAGACACAGTCATGTACAGTGAATGAATGAACAAATATACCTGTAGCAGCTGCTACATAGTCACCAAACTGCATTTTCTTTCCCTCTAGAACCCACAGCCAGAACTACATTTCCCAGCGTCCCTTGCAGCTGAGTGGGGTCATGTGATAAGTTCCGGCCAAGGAACGTGGGCAGGAGTGGCAAGGCCTGCTTAAGGGACTGGCCCATGAAAAGCTTCTGCATGCTTCTCACCGTCCCTTTCCCTGTGGGACAGCAGAGCCACAGAGCCACCTCGTACATGACATGAGTGGGCAGTAAACCTTCGCGGTAAAGCAGACTTATTACAACAGTCCGAGCCCCTCGATTAATCCCACGCATGCTACCAGGGCCCCCCAGCCCCCACCAGCACCTGCACCCCAACATGAGCGCCACTCCTCCCCCAGCAGAGGCAGAACTGACCTGGGATGTGACGTTGGGGCTGACAGCAGCCCTGGTGTCCACACTGCAGTCAAACAGTCCCCCGGGACGCCGTCTGAAGACAAGGTCCCCATCCAGACTCAGGGCCCGGGGAAGCTGCAGCTGCAAAGTGACGGTACCGTTACCTCTCTCCGCCGGCCGAGAGCTCCGCTCAGAGGCCCCCAACCAGGGTTCGCCCTACCCGGGGACACGGAGCCGGGAGGCATGAGCTGCGCTCAGGGCCAGGCTGTGCCGCAGTTCCTCGCCCTGGGATCTGCCACAGTGCAGACCCTCAAGTGCAGCGCGACTTTCTGGTTGGCTTTCAAGGGACCTCCACCTCCCTGTTCTTAGCCTGGGTGAGCAAAAACCAGGAGCGTTCAAAGTGGCGACTTCCCGTCCCCAAGGGCCTGCAGAAGGCACCCTGGGGACCCAGCAGGGAGAAGAAAATGGTCCCAAGATGTCTGCCCCATCCACGCACGGGGCAGGGAGTGGGGACAGGTGCACTGGGGTCTCTTAGCCAGGGATGGTCAAGTCCACAGCTCCCAGGTAGGGTTTGTAGGGTGGGCTTGAGGGGGTAAACTTGAGGGTCTGTGTCTCTCTCCAAGGGAGTGTCCTGCTAGGAGTCTGTTTTGGTCACTGCTGTATATCTAATACTTAACACGGGTCCTGGCCCATAGTAGGTGCTCAGGAACTATCTGGAAAGCCAGGCTGGAGAAAGAGAGAGAAAATGAGAGGTGGGGGGTGGGGAGGGGAGGAGAGAGGCGAAAGGGAGGGAAGTTCTACTTCTGCTGGCTGGCTCTGAAGATGGAGAAACAGACCATAACCCAAGAAATGTGGGGGGCTTTTAGCAGCTAGCCAAGGCAATGAAATGGATCCTCTCCTGAAGCTTCCAGAAGGCAGGTAACTCTGGCAACACCCAATTTTAGCCAAGCGAGACTGATGTGGGATCCTGATCTCCAGGTCTCTCAGGTAAGGGTGTGCTATTTTAAGCCACCAAGCGTGCGCGGCTTTGCTACAGCAGCTACAGGACCCTGCCACCCGCGGGGAATCGTTTGTTCGCTGAGCGGCTGCTAGCGGCTGCCAGGCGCCACGCACATAGAAGCAGGGTGCGTTTGTGCCCATCTGGGTTGACAGAGAAGAGAAAAACGCCTCGCCACGGAATTTTATCATTGGTGCGTAACTTTAGAAGAATACACGGGTTTATTTTAGAAACAACATGGAGGAGGAATAAATACATTCTTCCAAGAGAAGAAAAGAAATGTGCATGTCATTAAACAAAGAGAAGGTTTTAAAAGGAATGGACAGCCGGGGTGCCCGGGGCGGGGGGTTGGGGGGGGCTCGGCCGGTCAAGTGGTTAAGCGTCCGACTTCGACTCCGGTCATGATCTTGCAGTTTGTGGGTTTGAGCCCCGTGTCGGGCTCTGTGCTGACAGCTCAGAGCTTGGAGCCTGCCTCAGATTCTGTGTCTCCCTCTCTCTCTGCCCCTTCCTGCTCGGTCCCTCTCTCTCTCTTTCAGAAATAAATCTTACATAAGAACAGGCAGCCAAACTCAACTTGATTCAAAGGCTCCCATCTACTTATTTCTCATCACTTGTTAACCAGGTGGGAATTTGGGCCCTGTGTGTCGGATCTTCCCATTTCTTTTTAATTAGAAGCAGAAACCTAAGTTTTGGCCCAAATCTTCCAATTTGGGATGTTGACAATGTTTTTAAAAAATGTTAAGCGCTAAGCAGGCCAAACAAAACACACCTGGAGGCTGGATCTGGCCCCTGGCGCCATTCTGCAATCTCCGGCTTAAAAACACTCAACAGCAAGAGGAGGTATTTCTGCAGGTCTTGTGGGTCGTCTTTACGCCATCTGTTTCCTCCCAGGGGCTCTGAGGACTTCAGCCACCAAGTCTCTGGGAGCCATCCACAGCCTCGTGGGGGAAGCGGGGCGCCAGAAGGAGAGGTCTCTGTGCTCGACAGCTGGCCCCCGCTCACCCTCCTTCAACAGACCTCTGTATATCCCTCAAGGGAGAACCCACCGCTAACTTCTTTTCCAGGGCCTCGCACACAGTAGGTGCTCAATAAATGCTTGCTGGAGAACGGGGTTACCTCCCGGGGCTTCTACCCTGGAGGGATCGGGAAGGGGTCCGTGATGAGGGCCGAGGGGGCACCTGTCAGGGACCCGAGGGGGAAGTTTACATTACGCCTTGGTTCTCACAACCACCGCGTTACAGGTGAGGAGCGTCTCCGTTTTACAGACGGCAAGACGGGGGTCCAGAGTCGTGGAATAATTCACCAAGGGCACGTAGACAAACGTGAATCTCACCTTCTGAGTCAGGGGTTCGCAGAGCTACGGCCAGAGGGCCACACATGGCCCACTTCTGTGCACACGGCTGTCATGGCCAGTGGGGACTGCTGTCACAAAGATCCCACAGACCGGCCGGTGTAAACAACCGGAACTCCTTTCTCACGGTTCTGGAGGCTGGAAATCTGAGATCAGGGCGCACCGGAGTGGCTGGGTTCTCGTCAGCAGGCGGCTGTCTCCTTACCGAGCCCTCATGGGGTGGAGGAGTGGGGAGGGAGAGGGAGAGGGAGAGGTGGGTAGGGAGAGAGAGAGAGAGAGCCAACTCTCATCTTAACACGAGGCTCCACCCTTATGAGCTAACCCCACGCCTCCGATACCTTCACATTAGGGCGTCAACATACGCACCTGGGGTGGGGGGAGCATGTTCAGTCCAGAGCAACACTTTTATCAGAACACAGCGATGCCTGTTCCTTCGTGTTTTCTAGGGTGTTTTCTGTGCGATGAGGGTGCGGACACGGTACGGTCTATACAGACAAAGAGAGTTACTGTCTGCTCCTTCACAGAAATAGGCTGTCGACCCCTGCTCTGGGTCAGGTATACAATAGATCTTCGATAGCGCTGACATGACTATTCATTCACCGACGATGCGCCAGGCGCTGAGGCTCTGATCGTAAATCGAGGCACACTCTGGAGATATCGCAGGGCTGGATCTGGACCACCCCACTACAGCGAGTCTGCGATGAGCCAGTCAGATACAAGTGCTGCTCTCCCAGTGCGTCCGAAAGTTACGTTTACACCGCAGTCAGTTAAATGTGCACTAACGGCATTATGTCTCAAAACCCAATGGACACACCTTCAAGATACCTTATGGCTAAAAAGTGCTAACTGTGGTCTGAGCCAGGGGTAATCGCTGGCCACACGTTACCGTAACAAACAGTATAATGATGAAAACGTGAAGTGTCTGCAAGAGTCACCAAAATGTGACACAGAGACACCAAGTGAGCTAACGCTGTCGGGAAAACCCAACGGCTGTGCTAGAGGCGAGGTTGCCACAAACCTTCAATGTGTGTTTTTAAAAAATGTAAAATCTGCAAAGCGTAACAAAGTAGAGTGCAGTCAGACGAGGCAGGCCTGTGAAAGAGGGTACTAAACACGGATCCCACAGACTGCTGGGGGGAGAGGAATCGGGAAGAATCGTATCAAAACAGAACCGAGATTTCTGACAGGTGCCAGAAACAGAAGTGTGGTGGGGGGCATGCAGGAAGGGTAGCTGGGGGATGTGAGGGGCTCTGGGAGCCTGAAAAAGCTTCCCAAAAGAGACGACCCACAAGCTGAACCCCCAACAATGAGTAAAGGGAAGAAGGCAAAGCTGAAGGAGACAGTGACAGCTCCAGGCACAGAACGTACAAGGGTCCTGGGGCAGAGGAGGAACAGAAAGGAGGCAGCAAAACGGAGAGTGGTCTCAGGTGGCCTGGGGGGTCAGTAAGACCAGAGGGGCAGGGCTGGGGTCTCTGTCCAGAGAGAACTGTGAGGAGGGGCATGAGTAAGCTGGCACAGAAAGCCCCCTGTGGCTGCCACATAGGGGGGAACAGCGGGAACAGAATGGAAGAGAAAAGCCAGAAAGCAGAGCACGCTGCTCGCCCAGGTCAGAGAGGATGGCAACTTGGATCGGGGGCCGCTGGGGTGCAAGGTCCCTGCGGCTGGGGGTCTTCCCACTTACGGCGCGCTGACTCCAAGCAACGGCACGCCCCTCCACATTCCCGGGGACGGCCCCACTCAGGCCCGCACAGACCCGGGAAGGAAGACCACACATGTGCGCACGTGCGCGCGCACACACACACACACACACACACACACACACACAGAAGGACAGCTCAGAGGCAGACAGGGGCCTCCCCCTACGCCCAGCCCCCTTCCCAGCTGTGCCCTGGAGCCCACTCACGTAGGGGTGTCCAGCCTGGTAGCCAGGACTACAGTCTGCAGGGTCTCCTCTCGGCCGTTGAGGACAAGCCTCGTTTCCAGGGAGCACTGCTGCTGTCGCCCGTCTGCCGTGAGGGTCTCTTGCAGGAGGAGGCTCTGCGGGATGGGCAAGGGCAGGGGCTGCCTGGCGGGGTGAGGGGGTAACAGGCCGAAGCCATTAAAGCAGCTGGCAGGGTCGGCGGACAACTATGCCCCGTGAGTTCAGACTGGGCCTGTCAGTAGCGTGCAGAGTGAAGACGGTCAGAGAGGAGGACACGCCTCACCCCTGCGCCTTACAATTTGCCAGTCGACACCCATTCACCATCTTGCCACGCCCTCTGGACAACCCAGTGACCTGGGCACAGTGGGGGGTCACCTGCATCCCTCGGCAGCAGAGACCCAAGGACAGGCAGCACCTTGGTTGACTTCTCTGTGCCTTGGTTTTCCCATCTGTGAAATGGGGGCCAAAATCCTAGTCCCCCTCCCCCCACCCCGCTACCGCCCTATCTCATTCGGTGGTTGGGACCATTGGAGAGAAGGTCTACAAAGAGTGCAGTGCCCTGGGGGCAAGGACTTCTGTCCTTGCTATTCTCTGTTTTCCAGACACCTAGCCAAGTGCATGGCACATAGTAGGTGCTCAACCAACAGAAACAAAACAAGCGAATGCATAAGATCTAGGCAGATAACGGCTGCCGGTACTTTTCAGTTACTGCTGTTTGGGCAGTAGGGGACCAAGGTCACACAGCAGGTCTGGACACGGCCTGGAGTTCAGGCTAGGTCTGCTGATCCCCCCTCCCCACCCCCCTCCACGTTCCCCAACTACAGGAACCCCTTCACGACCAGCTGGGCCTCTAACATTCCCCAGAGCAGCCTTCAGGCTGGGGTGGGGACAGATTCCTGCTCCCAGATTCCTTAGCCTCCTCCTGGAAGGGGGCTAGGGACTCGGGGACTTCGGAGGGAGGCGGGTGGCTGGTCTCTGAGCCCTGGGCTCTGTCTGGGCCCCACAGGCCGGCGTGGACCTCCCCCACCCCGGGCACTGCTCGCCCTGTGCCCCGTGACCCTCCACGCTGCAGGAGCAGAGGCTGGGGCAGACGTGGCACATAAGGGGAAAGGACCACAGGTACCTGAGGAGGAAGGTCCCCGCTTCTGGTACGACCCTCAGTCACGTGTCACCTCCTCCAGCTTGCCCTCCAGCTCCAGGCCCTGAGGCTGGCCCCTCGTGCCGGTCACCAGAGCCGCCAGCGACACGGGGGTGCTCCGGGGCTGCAGTGAGGACCAGGCTGGCGGGGATGGATGGCCGGTGGGGCCCGAGCTCCTTAGACACCCTGCCCGTGGAGTTCAAGGCACCCACTGCCCATCCGCCGCCCTGGGAATGACACCTGAGAAGGGCTGCCCGACTGGATGGCAGCCTCGCCCCAGGCCGGACCACAGGATGGCCGCCACGCCTGGACCTCCCCGGGCCCCCGTGGGGAACAAAGTGCTCAGACTGCTGGCTCCGTGGGGCAGGGCTTTGCTCCAGTGCCTGTGCTAACATGGCGGGGATCTGTTTACAGGGAGGCCCAAGGTCACAGACCAAGCTAGGGGCACTGAGCCCCCCAGGGGAAGGGTGTGAGGCCTGGAGTCACCTGCTCCGTGTGCCTGGAAGCTGCGGTCAAGTTCACCTCCCGCAGGGGGCCCTTCCACCAGCAGCGAAGTATCTTCCGGTCCTGGCTGTTCTCTGCGTGGATCTCACTCTTCAACGTTGCACTCCATGCCGGCTCTACCTCAGCTCGGCTGCGGAAGGGGCCGTCACCGCGGACACCTGCACTGAGGCGGGGGAGGGCGACGGAAGGCGCTGCACACCCCACGCTCTCCCCCGTGGAGAACTGGTTGTTCCCCACGAGGTCTTGAGGAAAGAGGAAAAACTGCTCCCCAGCTCTAAGCCCTGAGCAGAGGGAGAATCTGAGTGATCAGTTATAAGAGAAGAGAACTCCCTTCCCCCTCCCTCCTCTTCAGCTCTAAAAGGGAATATGATCTCACTGGGCCGCCATTATCATCAGGCAACACGTACCCCAGCCCACTGCCCCCGGCGCAGGCCCCACCGGCAACTTCACGGTGTCTATACCCTGTAGGCCACTGTCCGCTGTTCACACAGCTCAGCCTCAGGAGAGGAGGTGATGGGTTAAAGTGGGGCTTAGGGATCACTGCTGCCACATGCTAGAAACCCCTGACACCTGGTCCCGCAGGCCACGGACCCTGGGGTCTCCCTCCAGAACTTACGCCCGCCCCCGCCCCCACAAACGCCAGCTGTCCATTTCAGTGAAAGTCACCTCCTTCCACCCAGCTGCTCTGCCAAAACCTTGGAGTCATTTACATCTCGTCTCTTGCTCCCTCCCCCTGCCAACCCCCCTGCAAATCCATCAGCTCCACCTTCAAAGCAGTCCCAAACCCACACACTTGCTACCATCTCTGCTGCCACCTCCGGGGACAGGCCACCATCGCGCCCCTGGCTGGGGCGTCCGCAGGAGCTGACAGGCTCTGCCTGCCACACATCAGTCCCTTCACGGTCCCCGAGCTCGCCAGCAATGCCCAGCTCCTCACGCCTCCAACCTGTTCCCACTTGGCCCCTGCTTCAGAGGGGACGGCGCTGTCCCCAGATGGGCCCACGGAGCTGCCTCCTTCTGGGTCCAAGTCAGGCCTGGACCTGGGTCCACCCATCATCTCCCCACGGGGATGGGATGTGTGCGCCCGGCTTCCTCGTGGGACACCGGGGAATCTTTCACTGGTTTTCTTCCACATCTTTATGCTTCTGAGATCAAACAGGTGCACAGAAGCATCCTTGATTACATCCAGCAGTCACTGTAAAAGTGACCTATGACCCTGAAAGAGCTTTCACTCTGGTTTTCCCCAAAAGTCTGAGGTCTGCCTAGTTACTCCTCAACCTACGTTCATATCTTCATCTATCAGCTGCTCAGCAAGAATATGGGCAACCGAGGGGCGCCTGCATGGTGAGTTGGTTGAGCATCGGACTTCAGTTCAGGTCATGATCTTGTAGTTCGTGAGTTCAAGCCCCGCATCGGGCTGCTGTTAGCCCCCCTTTCTCTGTCCCTCCCCTCACCTCTCAAAAATAACTATTAAAAAAAAAAAAAGAATACGAGAAATTGAGATGGGTTGAGGGGGCTGGGCAGTCCACTCCAAAATACACTTGGCAACTAACTGTCCAGCCTGTAAACACTGGGTCATCCAAACCGCCCACATCTGCTAACTGGCATCAGGTCTGGGGTTCTCTGTGCACGAGACGCTCTTACTGACAGGGAACCAGGCTCCTGGGTCCCGAGTCCACCTGTGGGGAGGAGAGCAGAGGGCGTGGCCAAGCAGGCGCACCCAGAGGTAAGTGGTAGTTGCGGTGCAGATGTGGATCTTGCCCTCCGTGTCACGGCCGCGGCTCCTGCGGGCCACATTCATCACCAGGTTCTTGAGGGTCCAGGCCTTGCCCAGCGTCAGCTCCTGGACAGCCTGGAAAGTGGGTCGGCGGGCCCAGTACAGCCTGTGAGCCACGGAGACCATCAGCCATGGACTATCCAGGTTCAAGGCTCCTACGACAGGTAAAGAGGGAGAAGTTGGCACACCCCATACGAAAAGCCTATCGGCAGGCACCAAGAGCCGCCCTGTCACATCCATTCTGGGCATGTCTCAAACTGGGAATGGCTGAGAAGGGGCAGAGGAGAACCCTGCAGAAGGCTGGTAATGCTCTGAATCTTGACAGGGGCTACACAGGTGTGTGCATCTGTCAGAACTTCTTCAACAGTACCCTGGAGAGGCTCACATTCCACTCTAGTTAACTCCGCACACGTTGAAATACTTAGGAGTTAACTGTACGGATGCCTACCACTTACTTTGAACTATACCAACGAATAAGCTGGATGTGGGAAAGGGATAGGTATATAGTAACACTAGGTGAATAAAATGTTAATGGTAGACTCTGGATAAGAGTATGGCTAAGAATATGTTGGTGTTAATGATACAATCCACTACTCTTCCATAGGCTTGAAATTTTTTCATAGCGACATGCTGGGCAAAAGGAAAGCATGAAGATGGGTGCCTGGGTGGCTCAGTTGGTTAAGCATTTGACTCCTGATTTAGGCTCGGGTCATGATCCCAGGGTGGTGGGGTTGAGCCCTCCACTGGGCGCCACACTGAGTATGGAGCCTGCTTAAGACTCACACACACACACACTCTCTCTCTCTCTCTCTCTCTCTCCCCCCTTTCCTCCACTTGCATGCATTCTCTGAAATTTTAAAAAGAATGCACAAAGAAGTTGGAGACTTCCAGTGAAGTAGAAGTAGAGCGAAATCCTCAAAATCCCAGGGGGAAAATGAAAATTCTCTACTCAGCCAAATTACCCAGGTAGAATGAAGCCAGTTTAAACATTCAGGGGTGCAAAATGATTATGTCCTATTATGGGCTAGATTGTGTCTCTCAAAAATATACCAAATCCCAACCCCGCAGTGTGTCTCAGAAGGTGACCTTATTCGGGACTGAGCCATTGCAAATATAAGTAGTCATGGTGAGGTCATAGAATAGGGTGGGCCCTAAAACCACTGGACTGGTGTCCTTAGAAGGGAAGTATGAACACAGTCATACACACCAGGAGAAAGCCATGTGACAACAGAGACAGAGATGAGAACAGTGCGGCTGCAAGCCAACAAACTCCAAGTAGTGATGGCCACCACCGGAAGCTAGGAAGAGTCAGGGAAGGATTCTACCCAGGGTCACAGAGGGAGCATGGCCCTGACAACACCTTGAATGCAGAATTCTAGTTTCTAGAACTGATGAGAGAATACGTCCCCGTTGTTCTAAGCTGCTCAGTTTGCGGTCATTTGTTAAAGCAGGTTTAGGAATCTAATACTTCTCTCAGGAAGCTATTGGAAGATGTGCTCCATCAGAACAAAAGAGTAAACCAGAAAGAAGATGACAGGAGTGACCCGGAGAAGTGGAAAGAATTCCCAGGATGATGGGGAAAGGACGCCCCAGAACCACAGATATGCAACTGGTCTACACTGGAGGAAGACAGTGGGTCCCGTAAGAAAAATACGGGAGCTGACTGAAGCTGATCATACTCCCATGTGTTTGACCATCTGGAGAAGAGTTTTGCACTTATGCTTAAACTTCTGTGGACAGTTAGTAAGAGGAAAATAGAAAACTAATCAAACGGGGAAAAGGCCGTTATAACTCCAGGAAAAACAGAAAGTCAGTTTTGTGTCGCAGCCGTGAAGGACATTTACAGAATCACAAGTAAACAGTGAATATTCACAGGCCAAGTTTTTCAGAGAGACAAAGAAAAAAAGGCTGGTTAAAGAGTTAAATTATCATCTTCTCTGGTAAGAAATATACAGAAAATGCCTAAAATGGAAAATGGCAGCATAATTATATTATTTTAAGAGCTGAAAGGTTTAAGAAGAAACATAGAAAAGAATTTACAACAGATAAAGGAATTTACTTGGGATAGGAAGATACGAAGCAGAAAATTATTGTTATAAACTAGCTTTTTAGTTTAGGGACGTCTGAGTGGCTCAATCGGTTAAATATCCGACTTCACCTCAGATCATGATCTCAAGGTCCGTTAATTCGAGCTCCACGTTGGGCTCTGTGCGGATAGCTTGGAACCTGGAGCCTGCTTCGGATTCTATGTCTCTCTCTCTCTCTCCCTGCACCTCCCCCACGTGTGCTCACGCTCTCCCTCTCTCAAAAATAAACATTTTAAAAAATCTTTAAAAAACATATAAAGAATTACTTCAAGTACATACGTGAATAGAGAACATAATCTGATGAGCCCCTGTGTAATACTCACCCACCTTCAACAATTACTAATGCAGTTTCTACTTTTCAAACTATGTATGACTACAATAAGAATAAAACTAATTCAGGGATAAACTGTGGTAAGTCCAGTTTTTTAAAGGCGAGAGAGTGTTCCAGTGAGAAGCAGCACGTGCAAAGGCCCTGAGGTCTCTGGGGGAACAGAAAAGAGGCCAGTGGGACTGCAGGATAATGGACAACAGGTAATGTGAGGTGAGCAGAGACTGGGGAATTACGCAGAGGGCTGTGATGTAGAGCTCTGTCGGATGGAAGCGTCACGGGGCACATTGATAGTATAACTCCCAACATCCAGAGAAACGAAAAGGGAAGGTATTCCCTCAGGCATAGGCTGAGCAGAGGTCTGGGGGCCTGAAATTTTAATTGCTAGCCAAAGAGTTTCCCTAAATGAGACTCACCTTCCCATCACAAGGTAGCTCAAGGTGTCTTTTCACCTCATGGCTGCCACCCAGAGCAGCCGCCTGCTGTCCTGACCCTTCAGGTGGGTGCTGTTCTCCATGCGGGGCTGCGAAGGCTCAGGTGGTGCAGCTGCGTGCGGTAATCCACCCGGCTCTCAGACACCTGCAGCACAAACTGGAGAGAGCCACACTCAAATGCTGATCAGAGAACTCCACTCCCAACCTAGAACATTCCACCGTCTCGCCAGGACAGTCAGGGGTTGGCCTGAGTTCCCTGGTTATCGGGAACTGGCCAGCCCAGGCCACCCTTCAAGGAACCGTGTAGCCACGAGCAGCCACTCCCCGTTGCCCCTGGAAACCATTAATCCAATTCCTGTTTTTACAGATTTGCCTATTTTGGACATTTCATATAAATGCAATCATATAATATATGGCCTTCAGGGTCTAGCTTTTTTATTTAGCATGATGATTTCAAGATTCACCCATGTTGCACTGTAGAATGTGTCAGAACTTTATTCTTTTTTATTGCTGAACAATATTCTTTTTCTTGTTTGTTTTTAATGTTTATCTGTTTTTTGAGAGAGACAGAGAGAGTGTGAGCAGGGGAGGGGCAGAGAGAGAGGGAGACACAGAATCTGAAGCAGGCTCCAGGCTCTGAGCTTTCAGCACAGAGCCCCACACGGGGTTCAAACTCACAAACTTTGAGACCATGAGCTGAGCCGAATCAGACGTTTAACTGACTAAGCCACCCAGGCCCCTGAACAACAGCCACAGACAATGGGTCAACAAATGGGCATGGCCATGAGCCAATAAAACTGTATTTCTGGCCACTGAAATATATGTTTCACAAATTTTTCACATCTTGAAATATTCTTTGATTACTTCTCAACCATTTGGAAAGATAACAACCTGTCCTCAGCTCACAAGCCCCCACAAGGAGCCATTCCCCCGGGAGTGGACAGCTGAGTTGTGTCCTATTTTCTGCTTCTAACTAACGATGCCATGAACATCTTTGTGCACAGCACATTTTAAAGCAATCTTGGCTGGTTTTCGTAGGGTAGCGTTCCAGAATCAAAGAGCCAAGGGGCAGAAGTCCTTCTAGGGCTTGAGAGCCACCCTAGCATCTGGAGCTGTCCTTGGTGCCTACGGCTCCCGGATGCCCCACCTGGGATCAGCCATGGCCAGGACCCCCGCCTCCCTTCTTTGTCAGTACAGGATCGGGCCTCAGGAGGGCCGTGCACGTTACTGAGGCTCCTCACGCCATCCCCGGTGACGAGGTACAGCTTAGAGCTGGGTGAGGAGAGAGTCCCAGACAAGTCATTTTCACTCATTCTCTGGACAAAAAAGCCTTAAGCCGCCACAGCTTGGTACAGGGCAAATTCCACCATGACTACGACATGCCCTTGGGGAACTCACCTACAGCACTGGTGATAGATGCCATGATTCACCTGAATGGGGGTGGCATGGGGTCTGTCTTGGGGACAGGGCAAGGCCCCCTTTAGCTGGGGGTGTGGGGGTATCTGCAGAGGTTAAGGTGGGAGCAGAGACTTAAAGGATGAGAAGGAACTGGCATTCTAGATAGAGGGAACAGCAGGTGCAAAGGTCCTGGGGTGGGAATACAGAGGCCTCTTTAGAAGCACAGAAAGGGTGGCTCAAGAGGGTCAGGGTGGAGGGAGAGGGAGTGAGTGAAAGGCAGGAGGTAGTGGAAGGAAACAGCTAAGAGTCAGTAGGACCCCTGTGGGGAAGGACAATCACATAAGACCTGGGTCATCCTAGAAACAAGTGGAGGGTTTTAATCAAGTGGGGGCCGGGTAGCACAGGACTTGACATTTTAAAGGACCCCACTGGCGGCGGCTGGGAGAAGGACCTGGAGGCAGGAAGACGACACAGCGCCCCTGGCGGTGAGACAACAGAGGCTGGGAACAAGCCGGTCCCAGGAGAGCCTGGCCCACCCATGGGGGCGGGACGCCCACCTGAGGCTCTGCAGCTCCGCGGCCTCCCTGGGCGCATTCAGGTGCACCGTGAGGCCCCGCCCCTTCCTCGCCTGCATCCTGCAGTCCAGGCTGGCGGTGCCCTGGATGCTGGCCACCCACCGAGCCCGGCCCGCCCCAGGGCACCTGCCCTGCCCATCTGCACGGAGATCCGGAGCAGGGCACTGAGGGGACACACAGGCTGGCCGCACCCTGCGGACCTGGGCGGCCGCAAGCCCACCGCGCCAGCCCCCCCCCTACGCTGTCCCCCGAATCTGGAGCCGTGGTCACCGCTGGCCACGCCCCACATGCACAAGCCCAGCCGTCCCTCCAGTCCTCGCCATCCGTAGCCGCAGCGCCCAGATGCGGGCACAGGGCGGGTCAGGTGCAACCACTCGCTCGGGGCCCAGGGCTGGGATGCGGGGCAGCAGGTCGGCGGCCCGGGCTGTCTGAGCCCCAGCAGCCCGCAGAGGACGCCCAGCTGCCCACGTGGGACCCAGAAACCTGACAGGCCGGCTGAGCTGCCCGGCTCCAGAGCCGGACCGCGCACGGAGCACACTGCGCCCACACCGTGTGGCCCCGATCCGCAGCGCACCCGCCTGCAGCCCGTCTCCGCCACGAGCGGGAAGGGGAAGAGTGTGCGCCTCAGGAGTGATGGTGCGGGGTCACCAGACTCGGGGCCCGCACTTCGTAAATGGTCCTCCCGCTCCCCCTCCTCCCCTTGGAGACGGTGTGGACCAGAGGGATGCGGGCCGTGGCTGGAGACGGCGGTGCCTTGCACCCCTAGGCTTCCTGAGCACGGGTCATAACCTCACCGTGCCTCAGTCTTCCACCCTGTAAACTGGCCATAGCTGCCCAGGACCTCCTGACAGTCTCCTGGCACGCGCGCACGCACACACGCACACACTCACACAAACACACTCACACACTGAATCACAGGAGCTGCTGTGATGGGATCCCCTCCGTCCAGGAGTGGTGCCCTCGCCCTCCCTCCGGAGCCCTCTGTAAGAGGAGCACCCCCTCCAAGGAGCCAGCTACCTGGGCTTGACGTGACCATTCGGAGACGAGTCGAGAGGCTGCTGGAGGCCGGCAGTGCCTCGCACGCGCACGCGGATGGCGGCCGAGGCGTTTAGGGTCAGCCAGGCTGGAAGGCCAGACACGGTGGGGAAGGCGAGCTTCCTGCACGGCCAGGTTCAGCCTCCGGTCCACCTGCACCGCCTGCCCCTGCAGCCACAGAACCGTAGTGATGCAGCTCACAGCCCCTGGCGTGGGCCGGGCGTGCTCTGAGTACTGAGCACTGAGCACGCACAACCTCCTTTATCCTCACACGATGGTGGGGGGGGGGGCGGGGGGAGGATATTATCATTATCCCGTTTCCAGAGGAGAAAACCGAGCCCACAAACACATGAAGTCACCTGGCCAAACCCACATAGGGAGAACCAGGTAGAGCCAAGTTCAAACCCAGACAGTTTACTACGGAAAGGGGTCGGGGGTCAGAGGTCAGGGATCCAGAGTCAGTCAGGTAAGGAGGAGTGCGGGCCCCGCCCACGATGCAAAGCACTTAATATCCTCCCCATTTCACAGATGCAGAAACTGAGGCCCTGACTAGTTAACACTCCCCAGGAGGTAAGAAGTGGAGCCGGGATTTGAACTTAGGCAGCTTGGCCCGAAATACCACCGTCTTAAGTCTGAAAAGTATTTTAATACTTTCCCTGAAAGCATCAAAGGAAACGCAGCGTCTGCTGCTCCGCGTGCCTCCAGGGACCTGAGGGAGAAGCCAGGTGACCAGGAGCAGGTCTGGTGCCTGGACAGCGGTGGGGGCCTGTGCGGGGTGGGGGGGGGGGGGGGGGGGTCCGGAGGGCAAGGGCTTTTGGTGTCTGGACTGTGGTTTGCAAAACGCATGGTCCACCAGCAGAAGCCACAGATGCCTTTTCTTTGACCCACGCGGTACTGCCCAGCGCCAGTGCAGTGTGTGGGGGTGTGAGTGTTGTCATAATCTTTTCGTTCTGGAATAACCTTAGATTTACAGGAAAGTTGCCAAGATGGTACAGAAAGCTCCCCTACACCCCTCGCCCTATTTCCACTGTCAGCGTCTACACTGCCTGGGCGCGGGGCGAAAGCGCAGAAGCCGACCCGGACGCATCTATTACCGAAACTGCAGATGCTACTCCGATGTCACCAGTTTTTCCAGCCGCATTCTCTCTCTGTTCCAAGATGCAGTCCAGGCACCACACCGCATTTTACCTGTCCCCCGTCCCGCCTCTGCTGTCCCCGCTGGTCTCTGACACGCTGTCTTCCTTTGTATTTCACGCAGGGCCCGTCTTTTGAAAATTGAACCTGTTTCCAACATTTAAACACTTAGGAGAGGCCATATAAGATCCAGACTCTGGCTTCTTGAGAAAGAAAAGTATTGGCCTGCCTCCCCATCGTCCCCCGCCCCCATGACAAAGGGCAATGAATGGGCAAGAGCAGCTGTTGCTTTTAACCAAGGCACATGCTTCTAGCACCTGCTACAGACCCCACCTCTCCCTACTGCCTCTAACACGGAGGCCAAGTACTGTTGCCATTATCTCTGTGCTTGTGCAAAACAGATCTTCGGAAAGGACTCTCCACTATCTTCAGACAGTGTGAAAATAACAGAAAGAATTGCAGATTTTTTTTTTTTTTGAGAGAGAGAGAGAGAAAGAATGTGAGCAAGGGAGGGACAGAGGGAGAGCGAGATAATCCCAAGCAGTCTCCATGCTGGGCGTGGACACAGAGCTCGATCCCATAACCGTGAGATCACAACCTGAACCAAAATCACGAGTCGGATGCTTAACCGACTGAGTCCCCCAAGTGACCCAAGGACTGTAGATTCTAAGAAAAAATGTTCATGCCCAGCCCACCACCCTCATTCACGTTACTTGCTGGCTCCAGATCTGGTGCAAGAGGCCCTACAGGGCAGGGTCCATGTCCTGACCATCTTTGTGTCCTTGGGTGCTGGGCTCACACTTGATGACTGGTAAACATGTGACCATGTGAATAAACCCCCCAGCCACGCTCCTTCATCACCATCGGATGGATGCAGCAATGGCTTCTCATGTGAGCAAAAGGTGCCAACAACCTAAATGTCCATCGTGGAGAAGAGTCATGGAAAGCACAGTCCTCACCCGCAGAAGGGATGTTAAAGCGCCCCGCGACCCACCAGGTGCGTTCCCGGGGATACGCCCAGCAGCAACGCGCACGTGCATCTGCTGAAAAGACACGTACAAGAATGCTCAGAGCACTCTCTTCAATAAGCCAGAAACCTGAGACGACGCAGAAGCCCACCAAAAGCAGGACAGAGAAGCAAACTGTGGTGTGTTCGTTAAGCAGAGCATGAACAAACCATACATATACACAGCCACACAGATGATCTCACAAACAAACTTAAACAAAAGAAGCCAGACACACACACACGCGCGCGCATACACACACACACACACAAAATGACACAAGGAGCATTATTCAAGCTCGCCAAGAAGTGGAAGCCGCCTGCGGCCTGAAGGCCCATCAGCAGATGGATGGACAGATGGTGTAGTCTATCCACACAGTGGAATATTAGCCTTAAAAAAGGGATGGACATGGATGCATGCGACACGATGAACCTCAAAACACGACGGTAACTGAAAGAAGCCAGATACAACAGGTCACATGTTGTCTGATTCCATTCATATGAAATGTCCAGAAGAAGTAAATCCACAGAGACCCAAAATAGATTAGTGGTCGCCAGGGGCTGGGGAGTGACTGGGAATGAGTACAGGCCTCCTTTGGGGTGGTGAGGGTATTTTGTAACTAGACAGAAGTGGGGGTGCACATCACTGAAAATGTACTAACACCAGTGAATTGTATGCATTAAGATGGGTCATTTCAGGGGCGCCTGGGTTGAGCATCCGACTTCGGCTCAGGTCATGATCTCATAGTACGTGGGTTTGAGCCCCACGTCGGGCTCTGTGCTGACAGCTCAGAGCCTGGAGCCTGCTTCAGATTCTGTGTCTCCCTCTCTCTCTGCCCCTCCCCTGCTCATGATCTCTGTCTCTCAAAAATAAATAAATGTTAAAAAAAAAAAAAGATAGTTCATTTTAGGGGCATCTGGGTGGCTCAGTCAATTAAGTGTTCAACCTCTGCTCTGGTCACGATCTCATGGTTCATGGGTTCGAGCCCCGCGTCAGGCTCTGTGCTGACAGCTCAGAGACTGGAGCCTCCTTCAGATTCTGTGTCTCCCTCTCCCTCTGTGCCTACCCCACTCACACTCTGTCTCTCTCTCTCAAAAATAAACATTAAAAAAAAGTTAAAGATGGCTCATTTTATATTATGTGAATTTCACCCCAAATTTTAAAGTTCATTTGTTTGTTTTGAGAGAGAAAGCAGGGGAGGGGCAGAAAGAGAGAGAGAAAGCAGAATCCCCAGCAGGCTCTGTGCTGTTGTGCAGAGCCTGATGCAGGGCTCGGACCCACAAACCATGAGATCACGACCTGAGCCAAGATTAAGAGTCAGATGCTCCACCGACTGAGCCACCCAGGTGCCCCTGACCCCAATTTTTTTTTTTTTTAAAAAGGCACCTGGTACATGGTTCCATTTATATAAAGTGCACAAGAGGAGCTGCGTGAGACACGTGCTGTCCACCAGAGTGGCCTAACGGGGACTGGATTCCTCTCCACGGAGCAATGAGACACCCAGGTGAGTGATTACACGTGAATTCCAGACACATCAGGTGAGCAGCATGAGGCAAGCAGCAGCGTGAGCCCCAGCTTCACCCGGAGAGTCCGGGTGAAGGTGCAGAGAGCAAACACAAGAGGGCCCGGGACTCTCTGGGTGGAGCGGTCAGGCGATGGCCCGGTGGCTACACTTCACAGGGTGGAGGGCGGGACGGGAAAGAGCTGGACAGATAGAACCCTGCATGTCTCCTGAGGGCCTGTAGACAATCTCCACGACCGTGCACCAGGCAAAGATTTCTAGGTCTAACCGCCAGAGCACGGTGCGTAAAAGGAATCGACTTGACTTCGCCAAAATCAAGAACTTCTGCTCTTCAAAAGGCACACTTAAGACAATGAAAGATCACTCCACACAGCGGAGGAAGTATTTGCAAGCCACCTATCAGATAAAGGACTGGTTTCCAAAATCCATAGAATTCTCAAAACTCCATCATAACCCAATCCACTGTTAAAAAAAAAAAAACAAAAAAAACCAGACACGATATTTGAACGTACACCAGAAACGACGTACAGATGACAAATAAGCATGAAAATATGTTCAGTGTCATTAGTCGCTGGGGAGTCACACAGCAAAGATGCGAGATACTCCTACATGCTACCACACAGCCACTTCAGAAAGCAGTTCGGGAACGCCTTAAACATTAAACCCGTAACTGCCATCTGACCCCGTCATTCCCGTTCTTCAACATCTACCCAAGAAACCTGAAAACATACGTTCATGTGAAGACTTGTATGTGAATGTTCCCAACAGCCCCCAAAACGGAAACAACACCAAGGTCCATCCACCTTTGGGTAAGCAAACTGGCACATCCACACAATGGAACGCCACTCAGCAATAAAAAGCACAAAACTGTTAGAAACGCCTGCCACACGGATGAATCACAAAATGATGATGCTACTTGCAGGAGGCTAAGTTAAAAGGTTACACGCTTTTCTTCATTAAAAAAAATTTTTGGAAACATTTATTTGCCTTTGAGAGACAGAGAGAGACAAAGTGCAAGCGGGGGAGGGTCAGAGAGAGAGGGAGACACAGAATCCAAAGCAGACTCCAGGCTCTGAGCTGTCAGCACAGAGCCCGACGCGGGGCTCGAGCCCACAAACTGTGAGATCATGACTTGAGTGAAGTCAGACGCTTAATCAACTGAGCCAACCAGGTGCCCCGGTTATATGCTTTTAAAAATAACTTTGAGGGGTGCCTGGGTGGCTTAGTTGGTTAAGCGTCCGACTTCAGCTCAGGTCATGATCTCACAGTTCGTGGGTTCGAGCCCCACGTCGGGCTCTGTGCTGACAGCTCATAGCCTGGAGGCTGTTTCGGATTCTGTAACTCCCTCTCTCTCTGACCCTCCCCTGCACACGCTGTCTCTCTCTCTCTCTCTCTCAGAAATAAATAAAACATTTTTAAAATTTTAAAAAAATAAAAAAACTTTGAAAAAGGAAGAAAACCTCTTGCTCTGCCCCTCCCCCACTCATACTGAGTCTCTCAAAAACGAATAAATGTAAAAAAAATTTTTTTAGTATGTTTGTGTTGCGTGATTCCATTTACGTAAATCTAGAAAATGCAAACCAGTCTACGGGGACAGAAAGCCTACCAGTGGTTCCTGGGGACAGGGGCGGGCGGGAGGAGGGGATTATTAAGGACACGAGGAACCTTGTAGGGACGATGGGTATGTTCACTGACTTCACTATGCTGGTGGCCTCATAGTACACACATGTGTCAAAACTCATCAAACTGTATACTTTAAACACATGCCGTTTATTACTGGTCAACTTTACCTCTACAAAGCCTACTTTTTTAAAAATAGAATAACCAGTGCAGTTAGGAGGTGAGGTCAATGATTGCCCTCGGTTAGGAGTGCGTAGACTACAAGACGGAGGAGTGGGGGCCTCCGGGGTGCTGATAAGGGTCTGGGCATCGATTATAAGGATGTTTCCTATCGGTGGAAATGCACTAACAACTTGGGCACTTTTCTAACTGAATGTGATGCTTTGATAAACAGTTGTGCACAATAAGGCAGGCTAAGCACTGACGACTCAGCTCTGGACCAGCCACTTGTTTCTGTGGAGGGTTGGGGGGCGGTCAGGGTCTGAGGTCATGGACAGCTGAGTCCCCAGGCCAAAGGCTGGCGAGCGGTGGGAGCAGGGTGGGAGTGGGTACGCCCCTTACCTTCGGCTGCAGGTCTCTCATCTTTCTGGATCTTTCTTCCAGACAGTCATGGCTGGTTGCCTGTGGTGTGGGCTCTGCTTCTGGCTCTGGAAACTTCTCTGCTTGAGCCTCTCTCTCCTCTTCCTGCCTCCAGAAGGACTTCCTGTCAAACAGCTGTGGGCGATTTTCTCTGCATTTTCCAGCCGAAGGCCAAGCTGGGAAGAAAAAGCCAGGACTCAGCGAGGAGTGGCTCCGCCACATGGTTGATCAGAGCTGTGGGGCACAGGGTTCGAATGGGGGTGCCCAGCAGGCTTGGGCAGGGTGCTCTGGGCTCCCCAGACCCCACTTGTCTTTTTTTTTTTTTTAAGTTTATTTATTTATTTAGAGAGACTGAGCAAGGTAAGGGCAGAGATGGTGAGCGAGACAATCCCAAGGAGGCCCCATGCTGTCAGCACAAAGCTCAACATGGGGCTCAAACTCATGAACTATGAGACCATAACTTGAGCTGAAATCAAGAATCAGATACTCAACCAAATGAGCTGCCCAAGCGCCCTGGGGCACCACATTTCCACATCAAGTTCCACATCTGCTGGGCAAAGGCTGCACGGCAAAAATTCTTACTGATTCTTTTGGGCCTGGTTCAAATGGCACCGCCTCTGGGAAGTCTTCCTTGAATTCCCACGCCACTCTTCCCACATTCCCCAACCCCAGACCAAATCTATCACTCCTTTCCCAAACTTCCAAGGTCAGTAGGTGAGCTGAAGGCCGTTGTGATGGGTAATTTTGTGTTGATCTACCGAGCCACGGGGTGCTGAGATATTTGGGTACACATAATTTGCAGTGTTTCTGTGAGAGTGGTTTTGGATGGATTTAACATTTACATATATATATGTATACATATATATGTATATATATGTATATCACATACACAGATATGTTTGTGAGAGAGAGAGAAAGCACACATGCATACATGTGAGCTGGGGCAGAGGAGCAGAGGGAGAAAGACGAAAGATTCTTAAGCAGGCTCCATACTCAGCTTGGAGCCTGATGCAGGGCTCAATCCTACAACCCTGGGATTATGATCTGAGCCAGAACCAAGAGTCAGACATTCAACCGACTGAACCACCCAAGCACCCCTAACATTTAAATCAATAGATCGAGCCAAGCAGAGTGCCCCTGATGAGGTAGGTGAGCCACATTGAACCAGTCAAAAGCATGAATGAAACAAAAGGCGATCAACAACTACAGGGTAATTCTTCCTGACTGCCTCTGAGCTGGGACATCACTTTTTTCCTGCCTTCAGCCTAAATTCAACCATCAGCTCTTTCCAAGTCTCAAGCCTCTAGGCTGAAAGGCTCTCAGGCCTTCAGGCTCAGACTAGAACTACACTAGCTTTCCCAGGTGTCCGGCTTGCTGAATGCAGATCTTGGGAGGTGTCAGCCCCCACAATCATGTGAACCAATTCCTTACAATAAACCCCTTTCTAGATATACCTACATGCTACCGGTTCTGTTTCTCAGGAGAACTCCAATACACCTGGCCTGGTTAGTTCTTAAAATTTCATAGATGTGAGGGACGCCTGAATGCCTCAATTGGTTAAGTGTCCTACTTCAGCTCAGGTCCTGATCTCAGGGTTTGTGAGTTTGAGTCCTGTGTCGGGCTCTGTGCTGACAGCTCAGAGCCTGGAGCCTGCCTCAGATCCTGTGTGTGTGTGTCTCTCTCTATCTGTCCCTCCCCTCTATTCTCTCTCTCTCTCAAAAATAAAAAGATAAAATTTTTTTTAATTTGATGGATGAAAGAAACCATCTGCCCACCCATCCATCTGTTCAGTATTTAATCCTTTCCAACTATCCATCCATCCATCCATCCATCCATCATTTTAGAAATCACCAGACGGTCAGCCCTTGGCACACTAAGCCCACGTGCGCAGCTGGCAATGTTTGGATGAGCGCCCTGCTCTCCATAAATTAGAAGGGGTTCGGACAGGACACAGAGCCTCCCCCCCCGACACATGTCAGGGGTCTGGGGGCAGGAAATGGAAGGGTGTCAAGGTAGCCCATTACTCTCAAGTTTGCTGCACACAGGACCCCAGAGGCAGCCCTTCTGCTGCTGCTGCGCCGCACAATCCATTTTCCACCCACCAACCAGAGTGTTCAAATCACGTCATATCCCTCTCCAGCTTCAAACTCTTCCGTAGCGTGGCCCTGCTCCTCTGTGCCCACCCCTCTTACTCCCCCTCCCTCACCGGTCTTCCTCTGCCCCTTGAACATACCAAGTCCCTTCTCGTCTCCCGACCTCTGCACATACGGGTGCCTCTGCCTGGGAGGCTCTTACCCCTGCTCATGTTCCCCCTTTAGGCCACAGCTCAAACTTCACCTTCCTGAAAACAATCCTTAAAGTTGCCACTGTTTTACCAGTGTGTTTACTCATTTTTTTATCTCTTTACCTCTCTGGGCAGGGATCTTGTCTCTTTTGTTGATCATCATATTCTCAGAGGCTAGTACAGCACCTGGCACACGTCAGGTAGAAGACAGATATTTGTGCAACCGATGACAGACAGGCAGGTGGATAAATGTGGGTGGATGGATGGATGGATGGGGGGCTGGACTGATGGACAGATATATAGGCGTATGTAAGGGTGGGCACGTGCACAGGTGTGTGAGCGGGTGCATAGGTGGGTGTGCGCATGACCAGGAGAAGAGATGAGTGGGGGAGGGGAGAGGAGTTGATGGGAAATGGGTGAGAGGTTACCTAAACAGATAGATGTAGAAGAGGGATAGATGGACGACAGATCAAGGTAGATGAATACAAAGACGGACGAACGGGTGGGTGTGTGGATGGACAGATGGACGGATGCGTAGGTGGCTGACGGGGAGAGCAGGTGAGGAGAGGTGAGGTAGGGGAGAGGGCGGATGGACAGATAGGTGGGCAGGTACAGAGATGAGAGACACAGAAGAGACGGAGGAGAGGGAGGGATGGAGTGGATGGAGACATGTACGTTCGTGTGGGTGGATGGACGCAGGGACCTGGGGGCACAAGACTGAGAAGTGGATCAACAGAGACAAGAGGTGACATACGGGAAGACGGGTGACTGGGATAACCTCCGGCCCCGGGTCTAGAAGGGGCTCTAAGGAGCCTATGGCAGCTCCCTCGTACCTCCAGCAAGTTGAAGGCATGACCTAGGGCGTGGATGGTCAGATTAGGCATGGCAGAACGGGGGAGGAAGGAGGCTGGAGAAAAGAGAAAGGTCTGCTCCAGGTTGGCTCCCAGGCTGCTAGACACTAGGAGGAGAGAGAGAGAGAGAGAGACCAGCACACTCTGTAGCCGTCACAGGGCAGGGTCTGGCCACCGAGGGGCCACAGCCTAAGACGTGGCGCGTCCTCTCCAGCAGGAGAGGTGTCTCCACCTTAAGCCTCATCAAGGCCCCAGGAAAGGTCAGGACAGAAGGGTCACAATGCGCCCACACCTGCTGACAGGCAGCGAGGGGACAACTGGGGCACCCCACTCCCTACCGACTCCCGGGGGGCGACAGGCAGCGAGGGGGCGGCTGGGGCACCCCACTCCCTACCCACAGACTCTTGGGGGGCAGTCGAGGGAGTTGAGGTGCCCTAGCTAGCACGGGGTTTCCTTCGGGTTGCTCTGTGCCATTAGGACAAGATGGTGACAGCCTGGGTTGAGGGTCTGTCTCCTGCTAACGTGGGGGGAGACAGCCCTCCAGCTCACGTGCAGGCAAGACGACCTTTGCCGTTGACCCCCACTATCTCACTGGCACCGCATTCCTTTTCAGGGTCACCTTGCATTTACAGAGTCCAACTGTAACAGAAAGATTCCTTTTGAAATAAACGCAAGCGAGAAAGAACCAGTTTAGAGACCAGATGGACTCAGTCCGTGGAACGCGAGGGCGTGGCTGACAGAAGATTCTGGACTTCTTCCAAAAAATGGCAGGTGGGTGGGAAGAGCACGGAAATCCAAGCAGGTGGCCTATGACAGGTGACGTGAGGGAAAGAGTGACTTCGATCCCCGCGTCCTTGACGGCTGGAGCTCCTGGCTGAGAATGTCCTCGGGGTGGGGTCCCGGAGAGTCCGCCTCAGGGCCCCTCGGTCTCCAGTAGCTGCAGCACGTGGCTCCACACAAAAACCCACTGGGGGCGTCACAGCCAGCGGGAAGGGGGGGCGGGGAGGGATGGATCTGGAGCTGGCTCACCCTGGAGAAAGGACCCCCCTCGCCCGCCAAGCCTATATCCCAAGTCCTGCTACTTCCACAGGCCAGGGGGCTGCTGGGAAGCCTAGCTATCCACACACTTTCTTTCAAGAAACCGTGGCCAAGAGCAGTGCCTTCGTGGAACTTGGAAATCTGGCCCGTGCGCAGCGTCCTGACATGCCTTCCGGAAGGGAGAGGGGGGCACTGTGGGGAAAGCTCTGGCTGGACAGCCAGACCCAAGTCTATACCTCAGTTCTACGACTCAGGTGCTGTGTGGCCTCAGGCTGGTTACTCTACTTCTCTGAGGCTTCGTTTCCTCTTCTGTGAAATGACAACAACCCACCTCCCAGGGCTGTTTGTGCAGATCCATCACAGGGGAAGCCTGGGTCAGGGCTGGGAAAGGGGTAACGTGCAATCTGTGATGGGGACCCTCTCAGGCTCTCTGTAGGAGTAAAACCCAAATGAGATCACCAAGGGGAAAGATTCCGTTGACGGCTATTAGAGTCTAAATGGGAAGCCCCAATCTTCCTGGTTGTCCGGGGCTCTCAGAATGCTGAGCAGGGAGCTCCTAGAAGAATCCACCATGGATCAGAGTCAAACTGGGCTTTTGTTCCCCTTGGGTAACACACAGGCCTGGTACCCGGGGCTCCCATCAAGGCTGAGCCCCTGGCGAGGGGGGTTGGGTCAGTGGTTTGCTTGATGCAAAACGGCCACCTGTCCCCGCCTCCCTCCCACACGTGTCCCTCCCACCCTGATACCGCCCACCGCCGTCAGTCACATCTTCTAGTGGTATCATTTCTTTTCCTTGGGGTGGGGGGTTCATTTCTTTAGAAGCTATTTTAGCAGCATCACCGACTTAAATGCGTACACCCTTCACAAACTGGGGAAAAAGGGGCACCTGAGTGGCTCAGTCAGTTAAGTGTCTGACTCGGATTTTGGCTCAAGTCATGATCCCATGGGTTGTGGGTAGAGTCCCATGCTGGGCTCTGCACTGGCACTGCAGAGGCTGCTTGGGATTCTCTCTTTCTCTCGTTCTCTCTGCCCCTCCCTGACTCTCTCTCTCTCAAAATAAATAAATAACCTTTAAAATAAATGAACGCATGCAATGTCCACCCTTCACCTTGGCTATCTGACCTCTGGGAAATTATCCTACAGCGAGATCAGCACGCGGGCCCAAAGGTGGGTGTGCACGTTCCTCTGGCTGGCTGTGTCTCGTGACAAAAAGCCAGAAGTGACCTGAGTCCCCATCAGCAGGGACTGGTAAAGTAGATTAGGGTGCAAGCTCCTCGTAGGAGATGAGGCAGCGGAAGTGAGAGCGCACACGCCCCGATGTGCAAAGAGCCCCGGGCAACGGCAAGGGCAACGGCCAACACAGCAGCTAGAAGACCCCCGGACACGCTTGTCCACGTGCTCCAAGTACTGCTCGGAGATGCAAGAGAACCGCTCGCGGTGATCGCCTTCAGCAGATGGGCTCGGGGCAAGGAGGAAGGTTTCATCTTCCATGTCTGCCTCCCTGTCTGCTTTGACACTGGCCACGTGGTGACACTCTAATAGCAGCAGTGACAACAGCATTAGGAGCAACAGCCACGTACGGGGCACTTCCACCCATCTAGGGGCGCCTGGGTGGGGCCGCCAGTAAGCATCCGACTCTTGATCTTGGCTCAGACCATGATCTCCCGGCTCGTGAGTTTGAGCCCCATGTCGGGCCCCACGCCGATCGTGAGGAGCCTGCTGGGATCCTTCTCTCCCCCTCTCTGCCCCTCCCCTACTTGTGCACTGGAGCTGCCTCTCTCCCCCCCCCAAAATAAGTTAATAAACTTAAAAAAATGTTTAAGATAAACTATTCTAAATGCCTTTGTGTATTAACTTGTTTTATGCTCCCTCTGTGAAGGAGATAGCGCTAGTATGATCATCCCCATTTCCCAGATGTAGAAACAGAGGCTCAGCAAGGTTTAGTAACTTGTCCAAAGGCACACAGGCAGGCAGCGGCTGAGCTGGGATTTGACCCTGGGCCGTGGGACTCCAGGCACAGATCACTATACAAAAGATTTTAGAAAATTAGTTCAACTTACTTTTTTTAAGTTGCACTTTTGGGTTTAGGAACTATGGCCAGAGGCCCCTGTTTATTTATTTTTAAGTTTACTTATTTGAGAGACAGAGGAAGCAGGAGCAGGGGAGGGGCAGAGAGACAGAATCCCAAGCAGGCTCCACGCTGTCAGTGCAGAGCCGGACGTGGGACTTGAACCCACGAGCCATGGGATCATGACCTGAGCCAAAACCAAGAGGCAGACACCTAACCAACGGAGCCAGCTGGGTGCCCCAGAGCCCCCCCCCCCCCTTAAAAGGTGCTCTCTGACCCTAGAAAGGATGTGAGATTTGCAGATCCTGTTCCTCCTCTGTCTCAGGTCTCCCTTCCAGGTACCAGGTCATGAGCTGTCCTGAGCTACAAGGGAAGTCAGCGACTTTCATCCCTTTTTACAGATGAGCAAACGGAGGCCTAGAGAGAGAGAAGCAACTTGTCCAAGAGCTCTCCAAGTCATGGGTGGGAGGTGCGGACACACGCGGCCCCTTGTTCAGGCGGCACGGCAAGAAAAGGGGATCAGAAAGGGGGTAGGAAAGCACCTGAGTGGCAGATGCTTCCAAATCCCACACCCCCACACCCCCCAGGGGTCAAATCTCAGGAGGCTTAACTGACTGAGCCCCCCAGAAAGCTGTATTTTAATTAAACACTGACATGGCACTCCCTGTGTGCCCGGCTCTGCTGTTAACATGTCAGACAGATCACATGACTTGATCCTGAGACACAGAGAGGTTAAGTAACTTGCTTACAGTCCCCAGCTAGAAAGAGGCGGAGCCAAGACCTAAGGCTGGAGCGTCCACCCCCGGGCAGGACGTTACCTCAGCTCACTGCTCCTAGAATGCATATTCTGGGCTTAACTTGTGAAATCCAGGTCCGGGATGGGCATCCGGCAATGGACTATTACCCCACGCCCACACCACCCCAGAGCAGCGACGGCCTGGCGGCCAGGGAAGGCACAGGGTCTATACCAGCTCTTCCCTTAAACTCCTGCTTCTCCACTAGGTTTGTGCATCCACAGCAGGGGGGCCACACGGGGGTCCCAGTGTGCGTGTGTGCACGTATAACAACGTGGGTGTGTGCCCTGTGCATGTACCCGCATGCCCTACTGTGTGTGTGCACGTCCCAGTGTACCCTGGTGTGCGTGTCTGAACCCAGGGGTGGGTGGATGTCCCCACCTATCCCTGTGAGCATCCGTGTGTGTGTGTGCCGGTGGGTATGTCTCTGTGTGTGGGTGTGTGGATGCATGTCCCCGTGTGGGTGTGACCCGTGTCCTCAGGCTATGTGAGTCTCTGTGTGTGTGTTGCCTTTGGGAAAGGAAAGGGCCGTGTGGCTCAGAAAAGCACGTTCAATGTTATTCGAGGTGTAACCCAGCACAACACATGGCCGTCTCCCCCGCACAGAGGAGGGAGAGCGGGGGCACAATAGTGGAGACCAGACGCTCAGGCTCAGGGAGGAGGGTTCCTCCAGCCACAGGTCTCCGTCTCTCCCCGCTCTGCCCCTGCAAGGCCGCCGGGGGCAGGCAGGGCAGGCTCGGGCCCTCCCGGGACCAAAGATGAAGCCAGAAGCGAGGTAGGGCCCACAGGGGAGGGCCAGTGGCTGGGGCCACCTAGACGGCCGGGAGCTACGGGGCGGCGGGGACAGCGGGGGCCGGGCCCCCAGAGCAGCCCAGACAGCAAGGACCCTGTGGGGTCACTGACTGCCCCAAGGCGGGGGGATCTGCCCAGAACGGCCAGCCCTCCTGGACTTCGTGAGAATCAGAACACCTGCTCCCAGTGCAAAAATCTCTAACTTCAAAAAGCTTTGGTGACACTTCAACGAAAAGTCTGCTTAAAAGGGTCTCTCTTTTAATTTTTAAATTTTTATTAATTTTTTATGCTTATTTATTCTTGAGACAGAAACAGAGCATGAGTGGGGGAGGGGCAGGGAGAGAGGGAGACCCAGAATCTGAAGCAGGCTCCGGGCTCCGAGCTGTCAGCACAGAGCCTGACGCCGAGCTCGAACCCACGAGCGGTGAGATCATGACCTGAGCTGAAATCGGACGCTTAACTGAATGAGCCACCCAGGCGTCCACTTTTTTTTTTTTTTTAATTTTTAAAGGTGAAAAGATAAAATTATCCCCAAGCCCCTGGCCCTCATACAACTGGTTTCCCTTTTCCAATGGGACTTGAAAGCTCACTCTCCTTGCCCCAAACTGAGCCTCCCCAAAAGGCCAAACGCAAAGCTGATGGGGAACAGGAAGTGTCACCCTGGGGGAGATGAAGGGCTGGCTCGAAAAGACGGGCAGGCTGCAGCTCCCTACCCAAGAACTTCTAAGTTCTGTCCATCAAGAGACACCACAGAGAGAGGACATGGCCAAGAGGCGGAATCCGGCCAGCAATGGAACAGAGTACACAGACAGACAGACAGACACACACACACACACACACACACACACACACACACACACAGCACAGGCCAGTCTCACAGCAAACATGGAAGAAGCCAGACTCTAGGTGCCCATGAGCGCACAGTATGATGTCAAGAGCAGGCAACAGTGAGCTACGGCTGGGAAGGTCAGAATCCCCGTGACCTTTGGGGTCACCGACCGGGAGGGACCCTGAGTGGGGGAGGGGAGCAGGAAATGCCCTCCATCTTTTTCTAGGAGTGGTTGCACAGGTGTAAAAACGTCAAACAGGGCACTTAAGAGTAGCGCGGTCTCCTGATTGTGCACTGTAACACGAAAGTAAAAACACATCCCTATGGTCGGGCGGCTCACTCGGTTAAGCTTCCGGCTTCGGCTCAGGTCATGATCTCAGGCTTTGTGAGTTCGAGCCCCGCGTCGGGCTCTGTGCTGACAGCTCAGAGCCTGGAGCTGCTTCGGATTCTGTGTCTCCCTCTCTCTGCCCCTCCCCTGCTCGCTCGCTCTCACTCTCTCAAAAACTTTTTAATACTCTCTTGCCTACTCTCCCCCATCTTTCTCTTCCCCCCTCCCCCCTCCCCACCCCTTCCGGGCTGCAAGCAGCAAGGCTGTGCGCAGGCCCGCGAGCACCGCGCACACACAGTCCTTGCGGACTGACGAGAGAACACCAGTCCAGACCGGCGCGAGCCCTGGCGTGGAGCACGAGCGAGGCGGGCGGGCGGCCGAGACCCCAGGCTCTGAGCCCACGACCCCGCCCTCCCCGTAGCCTGGACAAGCGGCCACAGCAGCAACACCGACAGTCAGCGGGACACCTGCTACACATCCCGGCCGCCCGTTAATCCACAGAGTCTTGCTAGGCGTGACCCCCACTGCTCAGAGGGGGAAACTGAGGCACAGAAAAGGTAAGTGCCTGGCTCTAGGTCCTCCGGGTAAGGGACAGAGCTGGGACCTGGAGCGGGAGGTCTGGAACCAGCGTCTGCCCGTTTCACCAGCTCTCTCGTGCCGAACAAGCGGCCTCAAGGAGACGGACCCTGCAGACACTGCGCGAGCCCTGGCGGGTCAGGGGCCCTGGTGGCCAGAGTGTCACCTGCCAGGCCGTGAGCCGTGGGGGGATGCCCCCCTCCCCGGTGGGCCTGGCTCTGAGGCAGGGCCTGATTTGTGTCTGCTGAGCAGAGCCAATCACACAGGCTGCCTGGAGTCAGGGGTCAGGGGTGAGCGCTCCCCACATCCGGCCCAGAGAGCTAGCCAGAGCCTGGCCAGCACGAGCGACGGAACGTTCCTGCTGGAGGCGCCTTCCCCCACGGGCGAGGCAGGGGTCTCCACAGCTTCCGGGGTCCCTGGCCGCCTGTCACCACCTCCGGAGGGTGTTGACCGCTGCCCCCGGCTGGTTGGTCCTCCGATTCCTCGCCCACTGCCTGCCGGTCACAGCAGGGGAAGGAGGACCAAGCGACGGTGCGCCCGGGCACGTGACGACACACCCCGCGGAGGAAGGAAGGGCAGCTGTACCACCTCAGGCAAGCCTCGCAGCCTCCTTGGGCCTCAGTTTCCTCATCTGCAGTACGGGCATACTCACAGCACCTACTTCACAGGGGCATGGTCAGGGCTAAGCAAGACCTCGGGCTGTCAGACACCCTTGGCCTAGCTTCACCCTCACTTCCTGGGTTCGAGGCTCCTTCACCGTATTTGTGTATGACAATGACTCTCATTTAAAGCGCTCAGACTCTGCCAGACTCCAAGAGAATTGAGTGACACATGTCATCCCATTTCCTACCACCAGCTGAGGAAAAAGGTTCTTCTTCCATCCTCGTCTTCCGGATCATAAAACGGGCTCAGAGAGGTTAAGCCACTTGCCCAGAATCACACAGCTGGGAGGCACAGGGCTGAGACCCAGATCTCACCGCTCGGTCCCCACTGGTACCGTCAGGGGCTGGCTCAAAGGCATGACCAAAGTGGGTCACCCCCTTGCATCCCATGAGCAGCCAAGCCAGGGAGGGAGGCGCCCGTCCTGAGCACCTTCAGGCCTCGTCTCGAGGCAGCCTCAGGCCCTCCCGGGACACCCTGAGGCTCCAAGATGTGTGACCGGGACGTGTCCAGGATCACACACCCCGGAAGGGGCCCAGCGGGGCTTGGGACGCAGGTGGCCTGGTGGACAGGTTCACATGGACAAGAGCAGCCTGTCCGCCCGCCCAGTAAACAGCGGTTTAGGGTAATGTCAGAACTGCCCCTGCGTTGCTAGAAGCTGCCTTAGGCACCAAGCAGGGGTGAGGACCCTGGTGTGGAACAGGAACCCTGGAGAGTGACACCCATGATCGCCTGTGACCAGATGCCCCACCCCCACCCACAGACACATCCCATGTCTGGAAACAGTCTCTGGCCTCGATTTGCTCATCTGGGAAATGGGGATGCTGACGGATGCGCCCCAACCCGCCCGAGAGTCCTTAGGAACACGAAGTCCCTTCATCTAAGTGACGCCCTCCCTTTTCTTCCCACCTCTCACCCTTGTACCTCCTCCTTTGCCTAACAGATCTGGGCCCTGGGCCCACGCTCTGGCCAGAAGTGAAGGCAGCCTCACAGGCACAAGAACTTTCTCTCTCAAGAGCATCTTTCTTCTTAGAAAGTCCTAGATTTTGGATGGGTCCCCCATCTCCCTGATTCCCAACATGTACACAGACAGATGAGACCCAGGGTCACGTAGGAAAATGCAGAGCAGCAGACAGGGGAGGTGACCAGGGAAATAGGCACTCAGTTCCTCCTGAGGTCCTGAAGGCCCTTGCCCTCATCAGACGTCATGAAAACACGCCTGAGTCAAATACCACTTCTATTCAAGCCTGTAACTACCAGATGGAGAAGCACACACCACCTGAGTTCAAATCCCAACTCTGCTGTGTGACTTTGGGTCAGAATCCTAACTGCTCGGTGCCTTGCTTCCGTCCGCAAATGAGAAGCAGGGATTAAAAAAAAAAAAAAAAGCCACCTACCCCACAGAGTCCTTGTGAGGGTTAAATGAGAGGCTACAGAGAGGGTTTCAGGTGCCTCTGCGTTAGCTCTTAGGCTCTGCAGTCACGCAGAGGTCTGGGGATGTTGATTTTGCAGGATTGCTGTTTTTTTCCTTTCCTATTTTGGAGCTGATAACCTTTCTGAGATTTTTTTAAAATATTTATTTTTGAGAGACAGAGCACGAGCTGGGGAGGGGCAGAGAGAGAGCACAAGACACAGGATCTGAAGCAGGCCTTTTTCAGATCTTTTCCAAAGGCTCTGAGAAAGACCCAGATGTCTGGACCGCAGGGGCCGGGAGGGCAGGAAGGAGCCCCAAGCTTCCCCCTGGACAGCCCTGAGCTCACAGAGCTCCTTGGAGCCTCTCGCCTGGGGTCCCTATTCCCCCCTTCTGGCCCCACATCAGCAGACCCAGGTGGTGGGACCCCAGCCTGGTCCGCACCCCCAGCCACGGGCAGCGGGGGACCCAAGGCACACTGGAATGCTAATTCCAGCTCTCCGCAAGAGGGTCCCTGTCCAGGGGAGAGAACAATGCCTGTATTTATCCTGCCAGGCCCTTCAGATTTAGTCACAAGAGGGGCCCCCATCCCCCACCGCCCGTGGGAACCTCCAAACTTCCCGCTTAATCTCCTTCTGGCAGACAGCCCAGACTGAAGGACGGGTCAGTATCACAGGGATGAGATCAGATGAGGTATCAGTGGGGAGGACCCGGGGCAGGGTGGAGGCGGCCCAGCCCCAGCAGGATGACCAGCCAGCTCCTGGGCCAGCCCCCTCCCCCACAGAAAGGCCCTTACCAGTTGTCCCCACATTTCAAAGAAGACAGTCTCCAGAGTGCCAGCAGCTCTTCTGCGGAGAGGTCCTGGAGCTCCGACACCAGCGTCAGGAACAGTTCTGCGGCCTGGGAATCGGAGGGGGGCTGCTCCCTTCCAGGAGCCTCGGTGGGGGGACCCCCGGGTCAGCTTCGCCAGTCCCCTGCCTTCAGACAGGGTGGCATAGAAAGTAGGAAGTGCATTAGCATTTCAAGTGTCCTAAGACCCAATGAAATGAGGCCACGTTTTATTCTTTCACTTAACAAGCATTTATTGGGCACCTACTGTGTGCCAGACACTACACTTGTGGGCTTTATGCTCCGATAAAACCTCACTCAAGGTTCACATGACTATGATCCAGTTCTTAAATGAATCTCAGCATATTTCATAGAGTCGGTGAGGTGGCGATCGTTTTTGATACTTATAATAAAAGGGCTGCATTCTGAGCCCACACACCTTAGGTTTCAGGAGATAGTGGTTTGGTCCCAGCTTCCTGCTGGCAGCCCCCACGCTTCCCCTGGGCTTGGCCAAGGCCAGGACTGAGGCTCCTCAACCCACCTCTGGCCAGCGAGGGGTCTGCTGGGCTGGGACCGGCCCGCCTGGCCTCCAGCCTCCCGTGCTCTGAGCGGCGGGGACACAGTTCTGTGCACACGGCTTGGCTCAGCAAGACGCAGGCTGCACAACAGGCCCCTCGCTGGCCAGCTCAGCCCACCCACCCCTCGTGCCAACACATATGCCTCCCAGGGTCCAGGCAGCATTCCTATAATTGCCTTCTGGACGGGCTCAGCTCCAATGACCTCCAGCTCCAATGGCTCCTTTCCCCAGCCCCGTCCAAGTTGCTCTGGGCTTAGACGCACACGCTTTGAAGCCCCCTAGGAAGCGTGCACACTGCTGTGCCTGGCTGTCTATCTTCCTACCTGGAAAAGGCCGGGAGTCCACCCTGGAGTATGCCTCCTCCTCCGGGGAGGCCGCCAGCCCCAAGAGTGGGCATCAGGACTGTTTTCCAGAGTCAGCCACAGCAAGAAGGGTCACAGCCACTTATGCCAGTGTCCCCGACAGCAGGGACAGAAGGGGGAAGCCTGTCTGCTAACAAGAAGGCATGATGCTAACACGATCATGACCAGTCACTTTGTACGGAGCCTCTGCTGTGTGCCAGGCACCATTCTAGGTCACGTGCACACACCATCTCATTTGACATGTGCAACACCCTCTGGGGAGCAGCTGTCATTATCTCCACCTAAGAGAGAGGATCTGGGACACTCTGAGTGCTTTACGCAGGTGCCAATGGCCTCACTGCTCCTAAGTGGCAGAGGTGAGAATTGAAATGTGGCCACTTAGCTCCTAAACCCGCATATCACCAGTCCTCGGCCTGAGGGCATGGGGTGGGGGTGGGGAAACAAAGAAGACAGAGGAAAGTCCTGCTTTCTAGAATCTGCCAAGTTCCGTGGCATCAAAACTCCCATGGTGGCCCCTTTCCAGGGCCCATGTACCCACGAGCTGTCACTGGACAAAGACTTGGAAAGAGCAGCACGGAGGCGCAATAGCAGGTGCAAACAACCTCAAGTGTCAAGGTCACAGGCAAGTGATGGTTTGGAATACTTACTGCCTTTGTTTCCAATGTGATTTTTTTTTTAAGTGTTTGAGCGACACAGAGAACGCACATACAGGAGGGGGAGAGAGAGAGAGAAAGAGAGGGGCAGAGACAGACAGACAGAGAGAGAGAGAGAGAGAGAGAGAGAGAGAGAGAATCCCAAGCAGCCTCCACGCTGTCAGCATGGAACCCAACATGCAGCTCGATCTCATGAGATCCTGACCTGAGCCGGAATCAAGAGTTGGACACTTGGGGCGTCGGGTGGCTTAGTCAGTTAAGCGTCCGACTTTCGCTCAGGTCATGATCTCGCGGTTCGTGGGTTCGAGCCCCGCGTCGGGCTCTGTGCTGACTGCCAGCTCGGAGCCTGCAGCCTGTTTCAGTCTGTGACTCCCTCTCTCTCTGACCCTCCCCTGCTCACGCTGTCTCTCTCTCTCTCCTAGAAATAAATAAAACATTAAAAAAAAATTATAAAAAAGAGTCAGACACTGAACTGACACCCGGGTACCCTTAACATGGACTTATTTCTAACTCGATCGTTAATAATGGCTGTGTTTAACGACCAGCCTATAGGATTTGGACAGTCTACACAGTCCTTAAAACCCCTGGCTGTACACAGTTGGTGTTTAATAAAGGCCCACGACCGGGGCTCCATATTCTTAGAATAGCAGATGGTAACCAAGAGCTGAGCCTTCTCCCTGGCATCCTCCCTGGCGGCAGCAGAGGGGTGGGGGCGGGAGCTGACCCAGCCTTCCTCCCTTCCTGCCTCTCCCTGCATCGCCTACTGACTGATGCCCCTGGCCATCACAGCCCACTGCCACCCACGTCAAAACTCCGGGGACCCTCTTGCGAGGGTCAGGCCGCAGAATTTGCTCTCTATTGAACACAGAGTCCTGGTTTTTCTTCCAGACTGAAAAACCAGTCTTGTCTCCTGCCCCCAACAATGGGGTAGAGCAAGGGCATTCCAACCTGCAGCCCCGCAAGGCTGGTCCCCCGGGGCAACCAGGCAGCCCACCCCCCTCAAAGGTTCACCACCAGCCCTGGGAGCCTCCCCAGTGGGAAGTTTACTTCCTTTCTCGAGCTATAAATACAGAACACAGAATGCCGCCCTGTGCCCTGGGGGCCGGCGCTGCCAGTCTCCAGGAGGGGAGACGGAGCCATCTCTCCCCGGCCGGGGAAGTGGGGGGTCAGAAGAGGCTATGGGGCCAGACGAGGGGAAGTGGGCCTGGCCTGTGGTTGCCAAGCACTTCCTGAGGTTGAGCCACACGACAGTCAGGCTAGCAGGAGGCACAACCACGTCCCCTCGAGGTATGTGGCAACACCTGGGGACACTTTGCTCTGTCACAGCTGGGATAGGGCGATGCTGGCATCTGGTGGCTAGAGGGACGCTGGTGAACATCCTGGATGCACAGGCCAGCCCCTCCCTCCTAAAGCACGAGCCCGCCCACGGTGCCTGTAACGTCCAGGTAAGAGCCCTGCCGGGGGGACAGGCTGCCTGGGGTGACACAAACCCCCCAGCGTGAGGCACACTGAGGCTGGAGACTGGCTCCTAGTTCCCCAGTGTCCCTGCTATAGATACACACAGACACAAAACGTACGTGTGTGTGTGTGTGTCCAATACTTATCCAGTATCCAGAGTGTTTATTCAATATGTTCTACTATGTATTTAATATGTAGTCAGTCAACACAGTCAGCAGGTAGAAATGTCTCTACGTGTTCAATGTATTATAAACATATGTGTTTTCTCTGCGTCCGTCTGAATCTGACGCTTCTCCGCTCGCCTCCCAATGCCACCCCTGCCCCCCTTCCCATCTGCGCCCCTGCATGACGGCCACAGCTTCTCAACTGGGCTCCGTGCATCCCACGTGGCCCTCAGCCTGTGCTTCAGCCTTAGCCAGAGGAGGAACGTTACAACGTATCTCAGACCGTGACCTCCCTCCTCTGGACAACACCCTCCAAGGCTCCCCACTACCCCGAGGAAAAGGGGTCCGTGCGCTCTGCCCAGGGGGGGACCCGCATCCCGTCTCATGCTCCCCACTGGTGCCCCGCCCCCCCCAGGGGCCCAGAACATCGGGTTCACAGGTTTGTGGGTGCCCTCGCTCGAGTACCCCAGGGGCTCCTGAAGCCGATAGGGACACAGGGGTCTGCATCAGCCTAGCCCCTGGGGGAGGCGACCAAGGAACCCCAGCCTGGATGCCTTCGGTCCATTTTCTCTCTAAACTCACCAATAACGCAAATACCACTTCACACCTCACAAACGCGCGGGCACACCCGGGGGGGCCTCTGGCGCCAAGAATTCCCATCTGAGGGCGCTCCTGGATCTCAGGGGCTGTGGCTGCGTGGGCGCCGGCCTCCCGACATCCTTCTGCACCCTGACTCTGCGTGAAAAACCCCCAGACACACAAAGCGGGGCGCGCAGGTGCCGGGTTCCCGGCCCACACCTGCCGGGTGGGAACATCTGGGCATGTGCAGCTGTGAGAAGCCCCCGCACCCAAGTCCTGCCAGGGCTGCCGAGCTTTGGAGAGCGAGGGTGGCCTGCTACGCTGCGAGCCTGCCTCCAACTGGAGACGGGGCCCCCGCTCTGTCCGTACCCTGAACAACTTACTTTCTGTTCCCCAAACCCTTGGTCTTGTGTAAGCATTTAGTTTGCAGGGTCCAGAACACACAAATGAGTATAGCTTGAACCCACCCAGGCGGTTACGGGATCAGAAGGGAAACACCCCATTCTCCTCCTCCTGACACACAGGTGCTGGGGCCTGAATCGGCCAACTCTCCACATCTTTCCATGCCTTCCAGAGAGGCCCTGGCTCCCATGCTAACTCGGCAGCACCTCTGAGACGAGGCAGGAAGAGCGGATGCAGAGAAAGCCTCCCCTGTGTCACTGGTGACACCCAGCCCGGAGCAGTGAATGGCAGGGAGGGTGGAACCAAGATCGCGATGTGCCTAGAACGTTCTGGAAATAAGCCTGAGCATGAGGACTTGCAGGAGCCGGCCCCACTAGTCCTCAGTGTCCAGCTCCAGCGAGGCTGGGCAGCCACCTCCCCAGACACATCCCCAGAGCTCAGACTCCGGACTGAGCACCTTCCCCCCCTAGATTTTCAAGGGATCGCCCCAGGTCTCAACTCCAGTGTCCTCTGCTTTAGACTCCGGCCCAGAGCAGTCACTCAGCCACGTCCCCACTCTGTTCTCTTCCCGGCGCTCATCAACGGCTGAAACGTTCGCACACCTGGGGTGGGGAAGTCCCGTTCCCCCACACGTGATTTTATGCTGCACGAAAGCCAGAATGACATCTGTCTCCATCCCCAGGGCCGAGAACAGTGCCTGCTATGTAGTTCAGTGACTGGATAAAGCAGCACCTCGGGCCCCGCGGAAGGGAAGATCATTCCCGTGGGCCCGGAAGGTTCTCAGGAAGGCAGTGTGGGAGGGCAGCTTCGACACAGGACCCAGACTTGGTGTTTTTCCTTCCCCAGGGATGGGGACCCTCTTACGCAGGGGTACAGGGCTCTATCTTAGAACAAAACAGGCAGGGAGAAGGCACAGCATCGTGACATGGCCCTGGGATTCTCAGAAATACTGTGATCTGGGGCGCCTGGGGGGCTCAGTCGGTTAAGCGTCCGAGTTTGGTTCGGGTCACGATTTTGCAGTTCGTGGGTTTGAGCCCCAGGTTAGACTCTGTGCTGACAGTGTGGAGCCTGGAGCCTGCTTCAAGTTCTAAGTGGGTGTCTCGCTCTGTCTGCCCCTCTTCAACTCATGCTCTGTCTCTGTATCTCTCTTTCTCTCAAAAATGAATAAACATTAAAAAGAAAGAAAGAAAGAAAAATCCTGTCATCAGTTGCAAAGGAGGGACCCAGCCAGATGGCTCAAGCCTTCCCCATCTCTCTGGGCTATGCAGCCACCATATCACATCTGCTCCTCGACTTTCAATAACCAGGAGCTCCAGGGGAGGCTGAATTGGTTGGGACTTGGTGGGAAGCCCTCAGTGGGCAGGCCTGGGTGTGGCTAGAGATTTTGTAAGAGATCTCTAGGATAAGCCAGGTTCAGAAAGTTAGCCTGAGGGCCCCTTTGTTCACATCCTGCCTGCACTGGACCACAAGTCTTGGCATATACTAGCTGGATTGCTTCCCCTTCTTCTGCTTTTATAAACAGCCACAGTTGTGCAGTACACAACCTGCTCAACTGTACATAACAGCCCTGATACTAAACACCATAAAGGATTTGGAAAAAAAGAGAAGAGGGTGTCCCAGGGACCCAGGCCAGATTCTGGCCTTTGGCTGGAGAAGGCACTTACCTCAAAGCTCGTGGTCTGAGCAAAGCACAGCTTCCTCACCGACACGGTCACCGTGACCACCGTAGCCTGAGATCGTGTTTCCTCCCCATTCATACAACAGGCTGCTTGGAGTTACTTCCCCATCATCAGGATCTGATCTGGATCTGAAGCGCTAGACAGGGATGACCACGGTGGGGGGGGGGGGGGGGACGCAAGACTGAGAAGAAGGCCCCCTGGGAGCCGCCCCTCAACCCTACCACTTTCTTCTGCATGTTTCTGGAAAAGGGGGTGGGGGAACACGTACAAGGAAAATCATGGCAGTGTTGCTGCTGCCACAGCCCAAGATGGGGAACACCCTTTATACCCACCCGTGAGGGCCGAACACACTAACTACAAAGCCCTCCTGGGACTGACAGAGAAAACATGAAAAATCCAGCGAGGCAGTGGAAGACGGCTCAGCAGTAAAAAGGTCAGCCCCCTGCTACATCGTGGACAAGTGGGGGGAAGGGCAGAGGGAGGGAGGGAGGGAGAGAGAGAGAGAGAAAGAGAGAATCTCAAGCAGGCTCCACACTCAGAGCTTAGTCCAACACAGGGTTCAATCTTGAGATCCCACAAGCCCGGGATCACGACTGAGCCAAAATCAAGAGTCAGGCACTCAACGGACTGAGCCCCCCCAAGCGCCCTGGGTGTGCAACTTCTTTTCAGAGTGACGAAAATGTTAACAAAGTTAGTTGTTATGACAGATGCACAGCTCTGTGATTACAGGGAAAGCCATGCGTTTATCACTTTAAATGGATTAACCGTGGGGGCACCTGGGCGGCTCCGTCGTCGATTAAGCATCCGACTCCTGATTTCGGCTCAGGTCATGATCGAGTTCCGCACTGAATGCAGAACCTGCTTGGGATTCTCTCTTTCTCTATCCGCTCCACCCCCTTCTCGAAATAAATACATTCAAAAAATAAATAAATAAACAAATTGTACAGCGGGTGAATTCTGAAAGTTCTTAAACTTAAAAATAAAAATAAAACCACTTCGATCTTCATGAAAGGTGAAAAAAAAGATGGAAAGCTCAGTCAACTCTGTGGGAAGGTTTTTTAGTTTATTTTTTTTTAACATTTATTTATTTTTGAGAGAGAGACAGGGTGAGCAGGGGAGGGGCAGAGACAGAGGGAGACATAGAATGCAAAGCAGGCTCCAGGCTCTGAGCTGTCAGCACAGAACCCGACGTGGGGCTCGAACCCACGAACTGTGAGATCATGACCTGAGCCGAAGCCAGACGCTCAACCGACTGAGCCCCCAGGAGCCCCAAGGGGAACCTCCAGGCCCTAACATGACTAGATAGTCCCGTCACTGCATGATGTTCCAGAGCTCAAGAGGTGGGGGTGCTGGGGTCCCAGCCAGTGTTCCCTGGAGCCGGAGGGGATGCTGGGAAGCCCCCGGGCTGTAGCCCCACCTGCCATGTTCTTGCTCACATGGTGCAGGGAGCCTGGGCTACACAGCAGAGCCGGGGGTTCAAGTCCCGGCTCTGCCTCTCACTAGCTGTGTCACCTCAGCCAAGCCCTCTTACCTCTTCAAAGTGCAACTTCCTTATTCGAAAACATAACTAAGAACAGTACCTTCCCGAGGGGGTCATGATAAGAACGAACTTACACAACCCACCTGCAACGCTCGGCACAGCTCCGGGCTCACAGGGGATCCTTCCCAAGTGTCAGCACTAAGAATCCTGGTTATTTCATTACTCAGCGAACTGGCAGTTGTTCGATCATGAGAAACTATCTTTTTCCCTCAGACACTCGCACGCTCGCTTTGCTGGTTTCCCTCCACGCAAAACTGCAGGAGGGAGCCGGGCTCCAGGAAACGCTAGGTGTTGGCAGAGATGTTCCAGAAAACAGGAGAGCTGAGTCAGCGTGCCCCCCCCCCCCGAACGGCCAGGTCGCCAGACGGAAGGTGGAATTCTCCCACAAAAGCGGGGACCCAGAAGATTCTATCTGCACTGAAGACAATCCAGGGAGGAGGACAAGGCCCGACCTGGGCCATGGGAGCCAGCAGAAACTTCTAGAAAAAGAGAAGGACTCTCCCCACCACAGCCATTTTCAGAAACTGTTTGAGACAGACGGGGTGTCCGGAGAGGGAGAGAGTGATAGAGCCCAGGCCTGCCTGAGCCCCTCTGCCACACGGGGGTCTCAAGGCTCCCTTGAGGGTCCCCACACCCCCCATGGGTCACCTGTGATGGCCGGATCCAGGGAGGTCTCACGCAGCAGCGTGAGCGAGGGAAGGGTCTACATCTGGGTCGCACTTGACGTCTCAGAGAGGGGCCTCACGGTGGCCAGCCCGGGGAACCCTGCACGCAGGTCAGGTGCGAGGCCAGGCCGGGTGCTGGACGGTGGGGGGGGGGGGGG